GGTGCTGTGTGTGTATGTGTTTGGGGGTGCTGTGTGTGTATATGTGTTTGGGGTTGGTGGTGTGTATATGTGTTTTGGGGTGGTAAGGGTGAGGGTGTGTGTGCCTTGTCTGCTGTACCATGGCAGCACCACCAGGGTCATGCACACAATTATGGGGCGTCCTTCTGGTGGGCAGCCTAAGATCCAAGCACTCTCCCAGTAACCTTTGTCACTTTCAAGAGAAGTCTGTAGACAATGGCAGATGCTCCATGACTCTCATTGACCTGTGTCCTGTTTATTCTGACCAAGAGACCCTGGTGCTCAGAGCTCCACTGAGGTGGGGTGTGGGCTCTGCTCAGTAGGTCTGTTAGGGCAGAAATACAGTGCAACAAGATGTGGGAGAGAAACAGAAGTAGCTCTCATCAAAGACCCCAGAAGCCAGGCATGGTGGCACATGTCTGTAAGACAGCAGGATGGCCACAAGTTCAAGGCTAGCCCAGAGAAAAGTAGAGCAAGCAGACATAGCTCTCAGGGGATTATGCTGTGACTGAGAGTAGCCATCGTGGCATATCTGTGTAGTCTAGGCAGGGCACAGGTCAGCGGAGGAGCCGATTGGGCTGGGTTTCTGTGTCCCATTGGGAAGAGGCCAGACAGCTGTGTAAGGCAGAAAGCTGGATGTGACAGACCACGCTGAAGAGCTGAAACCCATCTTGGGGTGACTGAACCCTGAGCCTGGCATGGGGAGTGCGGCTTACACTCATAACAATGTCAAGACTACAACAAGTGAGCACTCACTCCGCTCCCCAGAAGACAGAACTTTGTGAATGAGCTTAAGGCCACTGAGTTGCAGGCTTAGAAATGGTGGAAAATGTGAAACTACACAGACACATTTGACTATTCCCCCAAATCACTAAAAATGAAACAATCACACCTTGCGTAATGCTGTTCTGGGATAGTAGCTCCATGAGAACACTTCCTGGTGGCTGAAAAATGACTTAAGCAGGAAATGTATTTTTTACTCTTAGAGAAAAGGATCTCAAAGCCAGGTATGCCTTATACTCGACATCCCAGAGGGCTGAGGCAGGAACATTGCCACGATTTAAGATCAGACTGCAATACACAATTCCAGGCCATCCTGAGCTGGAAAAAGACCTTACCTCAAAAGGTGGTGGTGGGGCGGTGTGTTGGGGATGGCTCAGGAGGTAAATTGCTCACTCCCCAGGATGAGGACCTGAGTTCGGTTCCCCCGGGCCTACATAAAAGCCAGCTGTGGTGGCCACGGGAGGAACAGCTGGACCCTGGGGGCTCTCTAGCCCACAGTTCTTCTCAGGATGGTGAGCCCCAGGTGCAGGAGATCTTACCTCAGACAACATACAGTGGAGGGTGGAAGACACACACACATATGTCTTCTGCCATCCGTGTGCACACGCACTGGAGAGAGGACCTGCACATACGCACACAAGTGCGCACATCTGCATGCAAACGCAACACAGCATTGAACACAGCACACAGCACTATCCAAATGTCACACGCATGCACTTACCACAATACACAGATGCAAATGCCACACACAGATGCATACACCAAACATACACATGCCACACACATGCCCATAGTACACACACATGTGCGTGTAGAGAGCAATTAGAAAATGGGTACCACTTTCTCCAGCTTATGCACGGCAAACTGCAGCTCAGCCCCAAGACAGTCATGGGAGCCCAGAGCGGATCCTTCCCCCCCAACACGCTGGCCTCTGAAGACAATACAGGCAGCAAAAACTGCTAGCGTCATTCCGGCAGACAAAAGTATTCCTGCAGATGGAAGCAGGGAGGGCCGCCTGGAGGTTCCAGAGTGAACAGGAGCTTCTGGAATGGCATTCCACACACAGCCTCTTGTTGTACACACAAAGCAGGCTGGTTAGAACAAGTTTTGATGAGTTTGCCTGTGGCTACAGCATCCTGACCACACATCTGAAGAAGGCCGCTGATGGCGGGCTTCTCTGTCAGGGCTTCTGTTTGCAGAGTGTGTGTGTGCGTGACAGGACTGTGACACACACAAGTCCCTGTGTGTTAGAGTGAGAACCATCCTTCCTGCCGGTTTCCACAGGTACTTGGAAGGAGAGCGAGGGGTATGGACAGGTGAAAGCCACCACACAAGCTGGGGACAGTCACTAAGAGCAAAGCTCCATGATATCAGCAAACAGGCCTCCAGAGGTACCTCCTTCCTGACGCCCAGAACAGGTGACCATGTGACTACATGTGGCCAAAGGGACTTGGCAGATGTGACTAGGGTAAGAACCTTGAGGATGGTCCATTTTACCTCAGCAGGCATACGAACAAAGCTGAGATGTCTCTAGAGCTGTGGTCAAAGGTCAGACCACTGAGGGAAAGCTGCAGCCCATCCTGCCCCTAAGATAAGGGACCTGTCCTGAGCCAGAGAGGAGACAGAAAAGGCAGAAACCTTTGCTTCCCGCTGGCTTCCAGCAAGGATCACAGCCCTGCTCAGTCCTTGACCCTAACCCGGTATCATCCATGGTGGTCTTCCAGCTCACAGAGCACACAATGCACAGAAAATGTTAATAATGGGGAGAGAGGCTGCAGGGCACAGAAATGATACATCTACAGTTCTCCTGAAAATTTGAAACTGTTCTGAAAAGGTTATTTAAATTTTTAATTATGTGTATTTGCATGTGTTTGTGTGTTTGTGCACACAAACACTTTGGAAACCAGGGACTTTGGAAACCAGAATAGGGCACTGCATCCCCTGGAGCTGGAGTTACAGGCCATTTTCAGTCACCTGATGGTACTGAATTTCAGTCACCTGATGGTACCAAATTCCAGTCCTCTACAGGAGTAGTATGCTCTAACTGCTGACCCATCTCTCTAGGCCTTAAACATTATTTAAAATAAAAACCAAGCCAGGCACACCTTTAATGTGCACGCTTTAATCCCAGTACTTGGAAGGCAGATCTCCATGAGTTCAAGGTCAGCCTGGTCTACACAGTGAGGTCCAGGACAGCCAGAGCTACATAGTGAGAGAGACCCTGTCTCACATCCAGCTCCAATATAAACAAACAAACAAACAAACAAACAATTTAAATAAATAAATAAATAAGTAAACAGTTTAATTAAATAAATAAATAAGGGCAAGCTGGGTGTGGAGGCTCCAGGGTCCCACTAGTTTGTGAGGTTGACTCAAGAGGGAGGATTGCCTGAGAGAAGAGTAGACAACACCAAGACCTCAGACTTGAAAACAAAGCAATCAGCCACATAACTCTGCAGCTGACACAGGTACTTGGGTAGCCAGTGAAACTGTGTTAGTAAGAGGCCCAGAAAAGCTGTGTATCAGGCATATGCCTGTAGCCCCAGAACTTGGAAAGCAGAGGCAGGAGGATCCCCAGTATAAGGCCAGTATGAGGTACACACTGGGTTCCGGCTTAGGTTACACAACAAGACTTTCTTTCTTTCTTTCTTTCTTTCTTTCTTTCTTTCTTTCTTTCTTTCTTTCTTCCTTCCTTCCTTCCTTCCTTCCTTCCTTCTTTCTTTCTTTCCTTCTTTCTTTCTTCCTTTCTTTCTCTAAGATAGGGTTTCTCTGTGTAGCCTTGGCTACCCTGGACATATTGTAGACCAGGCTGGCCTCAAACTCACAGAGACCTGCCTGCCTCTGCCTCCCTGAGTGCGGGGATTTAAAGGCGTGCACTACCACACCCCAGCTAAGACCCTGTTTCACAGAAGGAGGAGGAAAAAGAGAAGGAGGTCTAGAAGTCACAGCACCTTCAGGACCAGTAGGTCAGTTAAGCTCTAAAGACCCTCTGGTTGGGTTTATCTGGCAATTGCACTGTTGAAGAGACTAATCAGGACCCAGCGTCTGGTGTCTCTGGATCTGAGGTTCGCAGCACACTCATGGGAGTTCTGTCAACAGATATGTACTGGGCTCCTTCAGTGGTTGGAGGCCCTTTCTGCTTGGTCACAGCCAGATGGGGGTGCCGCCTCCTTTTCATTGGAGATGCAGCATGGGAGAGGCGGGGGTGTAGGGTACCTGTGGGGATCTTAAAGTACGGAGCAGGCATTCCATGATTAACCATCTCCCCGCTGAAAAAGGCAGAAGAAAGCTCACTTTGTATTGGACTGGTTGGACCCCAGAAGCCTCCAGGTAACTTCCCTTCAGTCTCTCACAAAGTTGGTCCTGGGGTCCCTAGGGTCAGAGGGTGAAGTGACCATCCCAGGATCACCATATCTGGCATGCTGCAGGTTTGAGCCAAACAACACTGTGCACGCCCCACGAGAAATAGAGAAAGGAATAGAGGACTGAGAGGGAAGAAAAATAACATGCGTGGGAAAATGAGAGAAAAAAAAAATGAAGGATAGAATATTTACATATATATTTGCATTATTTGGGGGGCTGCTAAAACAATATTGTACATTATTTTAGGGATTGAATTCAGGGCTTTGAGCATGCTAAAGATACACAATCTCTGAGTTCCCCGGCCCTGCTTTTTATTTTTAATGGAATAGTTAATACATAAATATGGGCGGCCATGTGAGGTACGCTTACTAAAACTTTTGAACGCCCACCATCAATCTAAGACTACAGGAGAAGCACACCAACGACTTGTTATTATGTAGACAGGCGGTTCTTCTTTCCGTAGCCTGTGGGACACTCCCGGGGAGCTTTGAAAAATCATTTATTTGTTCACTCTGGCCAGTGGGTGCTTCTCATGTGCCTCGTTTGAGGAACACAGACTCACTTCTCCTCTATCCTGATCCGTTGGTTTCCGCCCTCCTCCCTTCACGTCCACCCCGGCTCCCATCCTCCACACCCTGACTCTGGGTGGTGAAGGACTCTTTTCCTTTCCCCTACTTCAGGGACTAGCAACACTGACTGTTGATTTCCCCTCCTACCGCGAGGGGGCGCCAGAGGAAACCCCCGCCACCCGGCGAGTGGCGGGCGTCGCGCGGAAGGTAGTTTGGCCTTCGCGGCGTTCCGTCCCGCGGGCTGCCCCGGCAACCGGCGAAGAAACGGCTGGCGTCTGTCGGCGGGAGCGGTGCACGGAGCCCGTGAGCGCAAGCTCGAGCTTAGGCCGGAGACTTCGGGCGCCCAGAGGTAACCAGTCAGAGGTTAGCTTGGGCCGGGGGGCCTCCGTCGCACAGGACCTGTAAGAAGTTGTTTATCAAGTGCTTGGCACGTACTGACAGTCTTCAGATCATTGTCTCCGAGTATTTCTTTTGTTTTTGAGACAGGGGCTTCCTGTTTTGCCCGGGTTGGCCTTGAACTCCTGGACTCAAGTGATCTCGGCTGTCTCGGCCTCCAAAGTTTCTGGGACCGCAGGGCCATGCCACTGAGACCTGCTTGCCCTGTAGTTTTATACACAGTGAAAAAAAAAAAAAAAAAAATCCTCAGATGCCTATCCCAGATGCCTATCCCAGATGCCTATCCCAGCCTTGCAAGGACAATTTCTGTCTGTAATGTCGCTGATAATGGCTGGTCACGGTTTGCAGCCTCAGTGCCAGTCATTTAAAGCGTGCTGGCCTGAGCCTCATTCTCAAGTTTTGGTCATTCAGTTATTCTAGGATGAGAAATGTAGGTCTTAGAGAACTGTTAATAAAGGTGCAGCCAAGGGGTGAGTGCCTCGCCTTAGAGAGAGGAGGCCTCCAAGTGAGGGTTCCTAGCATTGTGGCTGTCTCAGTTTCTGCCCACCGCTGTCCTCCACCATCTGTTCCTCCAGATGGCTCTTCCCACGTTGCCTTCTTATTGGTGCCGAGGGAGGCCCGCAGATCAGCATGTTGCCCGCCAGCGCCAGCGGGAGCAGGAGGCCCAGCTTCGCCAGCAGTGGGAACAGAACAGCCGCTACTTCAGGACTTCGGACATCCACAGCTCCAAACAGGCCCAGTGGAGCTCCAAGAGCACCTACCAGCGGAGGCAAGTGTCGATGTGACCAGACCGCTGGTTCCTACCGCCAGCTGGTCAAGGGATGTGGCCTCAGGGCCTAGTGACTGTGGCTCGTCACAGCCTGAGTTGTCTGCACGGTGGTGTTCTTCCAGCCGGGAACTGGGATGTGTGGGGAAGAAGTGAGGTTTATTTTAAAAGATGAATGCATGCAGCACCACCAGATTTTGTTTTGTTTTGTTTTTTCAAGACAGGGTTTCTCTGTAGCCTTGGCTGTCCTGGACTCGCTTTGTAGACCAGGCTGGCCTCAAACTCACAGAGATCCGCCTGCCTCAGCCTCCCTGAGTGCTGGGATTGCAGGCGTGTGCCACCGAGCCCCCCCCCCCCCCCCCCCCGTTTATGTAGAAATGCATTTGAAACTGGCCTTGGTGTGACTGAGTACAGTGGGCTTCTTACCTAGCATGCAGGCCTACCAGCATGAGAAGATGAAGGAGGAGAAGAGGAGGAGTCTGGAGGCCCGACGTGAGCGGCTCAGGCAGCTCATGCTGGAGGAGCAGGACCTGCTGGCCAAGGAGCTGGAGGGTCTGAGGCTGAGCATGAGCCTTCGGGAACAAAGAATCCGGGAACAGCACAGGGATCTGAAGGCAGCCCGAGAAGAACAGAGGAAACTGGTACCTTCCCCAAACCCAAAGAACGTAGCATCTCCGGGGGTTATTCTTGGGTTCCTGGTTTGGTGAGACAGTGGGGAGGGGTTATTTTAGCTTATGGTTTTAGAGGGTCTGAAGCACTCATACTGAGGAAGGCATGGAGTCCATGGCCACTGGCACTCATAGCATGTTGGCTCAGGAAGTAGACAGCACAATAGAAGTTTTTGGCCGATAACCTTCAAAGACCCACCTCACTGGGCTGCTACCTCTAGCTAATTTCTCACCCCCTAAAGGCCGAGCAATTATCTTTGTTTTTGGTTTTGTTGTTTTCAACTGGTCTCACTATGTTAGCCTGGAACTTTCTCAGTAGACCAGCCTGGCTTCAGAGTCACAGAGATCCTCTTGCCTGTGCCTTCCAGGTGCTGGGATTGAATAACGTGCATGGCCGAGAGCAAGCATTTAAAGTGTGAGCCCAGGGGATAGTTCAGACTCAGCCCAGAACAATGATCTGTACCAAATATGGTAAAATGTTTGCAGCGGGGGGGGGGGGTGGGGGGGGTGGGGGGGGTGGGGGAGAGTACAACCATATTTTGTTGGCACGTCCAGCGTGTAGCCCAGGTAGTCCAGCAGTGGCTGTCTCACAACAGACAGACCAAGAATCCAGTAGGTGGGGAGCCCACAAGGCATGGCTGTCTCTACATTGCCAGCCTGTTGCTGGAGTGGGGGAGGATTTGTGGAGAACTGCTGGTGTCCAGTCTGTGCTGGAATCCTGAAGAAGTTGCAGTTAATACAGTAGCGGATAGATGAGCTTGCCAGGGAGACTGAGGGCAAGCAGACAGAAAGCCAGCACCCACTCTTCTGTGCCTCTCCACGGAGTGTTTGGAATGTGGCAGCCTCCTTCCCTGGCTTACAAATCACTGCAAGTGATTCCCTTTCATCTTTTCGGTTCTGTAGTTCCACAAGGCCTGGGAAGGCTGTATTTACTTTCAGTGGCTGTGCTAGCTAGCCTCAGGCTGTGTGTTTTGGCCTGCTATGCATTTGGAAACTCCTAGAGGGACTCAGCCATGGCATCAGATCTTGGCTGGCTCTTGGTCCACTGCGAGAGTCATTTGTCAGTGTCGTCCATTCTGCCCTGCGGTCCTGTCCCCAGAGCTGTGTGTGCAAGGAAAGCAGGTTTGAATGGCAGATGTGGTGGCGTCCCTGAATGGAGAAGCTGTGCTGACTACTGTAATTTGTCTAGTGTGAATGGACTTGAACAACGACATCAGGTGTCCTGTGCTTTCTTTATAGATCGCTGAGCGACTTTTATATGAGCACTGGAGAAAGACCAACCCCAAACTTCGAGAGGTGAGAACCAAGCCTTCCACCGCTTCGCCTGCTTCAGATTCTGTTGTTTCTGCGTCTGGATTTGTGCTGGGTTGAAACAGGAAAGAGCACCAGGCAGAAGACCTGTTCAGACAGGACTGAGCAGTGAACTGTGCAGACTGCCATTTGGAGAGATGCTCTTTGGCCCAGGAGCTCGCTGCCCAGAGGGTGTATAGACCTGGGCAGTGGGCTCAGCACGTCTCTAAGAATGGTTCTAGAGGAGAGGAGCTTACAGGACACTGGGTTTAGTTCAGTTCGATGGTATTGAGTGAGGAAAGTGAAGTAACTGGAAGAACAGAGTCCAGGAAGCTGTAAAGGGCCAGATGAGACTGGCACCCAATGGTAGAGAGTCCTGAAGAGATGGAGCTGGTGAGGAGATGGGGCCAGTCCTGCCTACCTTCCTTCAGAGGCACAGGACCATGTTAGCAATATGTAGGATCACAGCTGCACCCTCACAGCTGCTCCCTCACAGCTGTACCCTCACAGCTGCACCCTCACAGCTGCATACTGGGGTGCTCCCTCACAGCTGCACCTTCACAGCTGCTCCCTCACAGCTGCTCACTGGGATGCTCCCTCACACCTGCTCCCTCACAGCTGCTCACTGGGCTGTTCCTCTTGGCGGCATTGTCAGAGTCAGTTGGGTCTGGGTTGGTGCTGCCTGTTGGCTCCTAAGGTGAAGGAGACAGGAGCCGTCTGCAGACCTGGGACAGAGGGAATCATGTCTTGTTTTGCATCCATCTCTGCATAGAGATCGGCTGGAGGGCCTATTAGCCTGTTAATGATAACATGTATTCATCTCAGGAGTGTTTGTACAGGTTTGGTATTGTCACTTTATGCAGTTATGTCTAGAAGTTACCAGGTGAGGTGGCTTAGCAGGTAAAGGTGCTTGCTTGCCACGCTTGGTGACCTAAATTTCATCCCAGGACCCACATGGTGGAAGGAGAGACCCAACTCTCACAAATTGTCCTCTGGCCTCTATACACATACACACACACAATAAAATGAAATAAAATAAAATTGAAAAACACTAAAAAATAAGAAATCTGGGTGGGGTGCTTCCCCCCCCCCTTTTTTTTGAGACAGGGCTCACTATGTAGCTCATACTGGAACTTACTATGTAGACCTGTAGCTTTAGATCGGGCTGGCCTTGAACTCACAGAAATCCACCTGCCTCTTCCTCCTGAGTATTGGGATTCATGGCGTGTACTGCCATTCCCAGCTATGGCTCACTCCTTAAATCAAGGCAGTGGGGAGGCAGGGGCCGGAGGTTCTCTGAGTGCAGGCCAGCCTGTTCTAAAGCTGCTTTGTAAACAAGGGAGCCCAGCACAGGGTGGCCTCTGCTCCTTACCCAGCTGTCTCCTGGACTCTCCTTTCAAATTGCAGTTCTGTGTCTTCTGAGACTGCTTCCTGCTCACCTGGGGGCGGGGGACTCCAGAGGGAACTTTGGCCCTTGTGTTCCGGGTGTAAACTGTCCTATAGTACATGGTCCTTTGGCTTCCTTGTATGTGAGGGGTGCAAGTGTGCCATGGTGCTTGCGTGGGAATCGTGTCTACCCTCCCTGCTTGCTGAGGCAGGGTTCATCTTTTCCTGCTGCTTAGCGGGACACCCCAGGCTAGCTGGCCGGCCCTTGAACTCCTGGGCTTCTAGAGAATTCTCTCGTCTGGGCCTCCCATCTTACCACAGAGGGGCTCGGATCCCACACGAGTGTTGCCACAATCTGCTTTTCACATGGCTGGTTCCGGGGACTGAGCTTAGGTTTGCCAGCTGGCCCTCAATCACCGCAAGGTGACTCACTGGTGTTCCCTTGCAGTTGTGGCTCCAGCAGGTGGCACTGACAGCAGTAAGTCACCTCAGCAAGTTTCATACAAGGCCTCTTTCTCATCCTCAGGTTGAGATGGACCTTCATAGGAAGGACGTGATAAATTCTTGGGCAACACAGAAAGAAGAAAAAAAGCAGGTGTGTGATGTGTGCCCCTCACCCTCTGCGGCCCCTTCCCCACCTCTGGCTTTGTCCTCTGTCTGTTTCTGTGCTTTGCCTAGATGAGCAGCAGGTGCCTGCCCAGCTGCTTGCTGCATGTGCAGTCTGAATGTTTGCTTTGTGCATGCTCACGTGCATTCTCATTCATGTGTGTGTGTTTGTATGCAGGTGTGTGTGTATAGCTATGTGCATGCACATGTGTGGCTCTATGTGTAGATGTGTGCATGTGTGTGGCAGTCGGCCAACCTTGGGTGATGCTCCTCAGGACCCAGCCATGTGTTTTGAGATAGGGTCTCTCAGTGGGCTGTAGCCTCCCCAAGTAGATATCCAAGGACCCATAGAGACCTATCAGTTTCAACATTCCCAGGACCGAGACTACAAGCACGTGCCACTTTGGCCAGCTTTTTTAAATTAAATTTTTTTTTAATTAACATCTTTCTGTGTATGGGTATTTTGCTTGCATATATGTCTGTGTACTTTAAGCATGCCTGGTGCCTGTGGAGGCAAAATTGGGTGTTGAATCCAGTTCATCTGGAACTGGAGTTATGGAGGGCCGTGAGCCACCACGTAGGTTCTGGGAATTGAGCCAGGGTCCTCAGAAGAGCCACAGTCAGTGCTCTTAACCATGAGCCTTCTCTCCAGCCCCAAGTTGTTGTTTTTTTTTTTTTTTTTTTTTTATCTTATGTGTGTGAGCGTGTGTGTATGCCGAGTGTGCTGGTCTGAGAGGGTAGGTGAGGGCATCAGATTGATTGGAGGTGGGGCTACAGTGATTGTCTGCCTCATCTCGGGTGCTGGGAAATGCCCTCAGGCCATCCTCTGGGACTGCAGTGTGGGCCTTAGCTGCTGAGCTGTCTCTCTGGCCCCAGCACCATCAACCTACGTCAGAAACACTAACCCCTGGCTTGCCGCACGCAGCACCTCTGGGGATGAGCCCACAGCATGCACTCTGCTTCTAGGTTCATTGTGTTGTCTTGTGGAGGGGAGAAACCTGAGAGGTGGGGTTCTGGGCTGAGCTGAGTGGCAGCAGGGAGCCGTGTCTCTCCTGGCTGCATGTCGATAGTGTTGTCCTCTTGCAGCAAGAAGCCATGGAGGAGCAGGAGAACAAGCAGTTTGAAAATAAGTATGAAGCAGCCTGCAGGGAGGCCGAGGAAAGGATGAGAGCAGAGGAGGAGAGGAGGCAGCTGGAGGACAAGCAGCAGGCCGAAGCTCTGCGCCAGCAGATGGAGGAGCTGAAGCAGAAGGAGATGGAGGTGAGGGCGAGCTTTCTGGCATAAGGCAGCCATTCCAAGAAGATCACAGCGGGGCGGGGGGGGGGGGGGGGGTTCTATGCCTCTCGTCCAGACTGGGTGCTCTCTTATGCGTGTGCCCCTTTATGTTCTGCTGAGGTGCTTCACTTTGCACTCACACGTGAGAACATTAGTGGTCTAGAGACACTTGTCCACCCCATGTCTTCATTGTTGGGGGCCTTTTGAGATCAGAGCTGTCCAATGGAACATGCTCTAGCACAAAGTACCCAGCATCCACCAGCTGCAGGTTCTGGGTCTGAGGACATGAGCCATGAGGGATTTTGGTCTAGAGGACTGTTTTTGAGAACACTGGTTTCCTGAGAGGGCCAAGCCTTCTGTTCAGATGGGTGGAGGCCTCGCCTCTTTGGTCTCCTGTCCGTGTCTCTTCTCCTGGCCTCATTGTTTTAATAACTAGAAATGTAGTGCCCACCACTAAGTCTGGATGCTGGAGACAGGGCCGAGCAAGCACTTACTCATCACTGGCCTCACCATGGCTGCTATGTTGGTCAAGGAAACAGTTAAGTTAGAGTGGGTGTGGGCCATCACAGGATGTCTCTGCACAGAAAGTAAGGCTGGGCCAGGCGTGGAGGAATGGCTTAGTTGAGCTGAGAATCACATGAGCAGCAGGGCCCAGGCTGTGCTTATGTAGCACCTGGCCGAGACGGAGGACAGTCTTAACTACTCCATGTTTTTGGGTTTACTGCTGTAACCACAGGCAACCAAACTGAAGAAGGAACAGGAGAACCTGCTGAAGCAGCGCTGGGAGCTGGAGAGGCTGGAGGAAGAGCGGAGGCAGATGGCAGCCCTCCGGCGCAAGGCAGAGCTCGGGTGTGTGTGGGGAGCCTGGGTTCCTCCCAGGGACCTCTTGCCTCCTCAGATTTCCATGGGGTCTCCCGAGAAGCAGGGGGGCCTGGCCTGTATTGAGCAGCTGTTTGATTGAAGCCGCTTGGTTCCCATCTTCAGGCGCTTCCTGAGACATCAGTACAATGCACAGCTCAACAGGCGGACCCAGCAGATCCAGGAGGAGCTGGTGAGTTGACCCTACTTCTTGGCAGGCTTTTCACCGCCCTTTGGAAACAGTATTTCCACTGCTCAGGACATGAGCACATTCTTAGAGAAATGCTGGTGGGTGGCACAGAGAGCTGGAGGCGTGTACAAGCATGGGTTCCAGCTGACAGTGCTGGCGAAGCTGTTCTGTACCTGAGCTGTGAGGGCCTGGGGTGCCGTCCCGGGGAAAACTGCACTGCTTTTGTCTTTTGAGACAGAGTTTCACTGTCTAGGAACCCTTGGCTCTCCAGGAACACACTGTGTAGACCAGGCTGGCCTCAAACTCACAGAGATGTACCTGCCTCTGCCTTCCAGGTGCTGGGATTAAAGGTGTGTGCCACCACACCTGGTTCTTAGGTATTCATTAAATACTAAATAAGTTTTGGGGGATGGAGAGGTGGCTCAGTGGATAAGATCACTTGCTGCTCTGGCAGAGGATCTGGGTTTGGTTCCCAGCACCCACATGGCACTATAAGGCTAGTAACCCTCCAAAAGTCTAGTTCCAATGCCCTGACATTCCTGGCCTCTGCAGGCAGACATGAATAGTCAGCACACTCAGACACATAAAATGTTGTCACTGTGTGAGGGCGAGCATGCAGGTGTGCACGTGGAGTCAGAGGACAGCGTTTAGGAGGAAGTTCCTTCCTTTTACCATGAGTGCTGGGGGCTGAAGCCAGGCTCTCAGGGCTGGGTAGCAAGTGCTTGTGCCCGCCGAGCCATCTTGCCAGCCCAGCCCTTAGGTATTAAGGGGAAAAGTGACGGCGGTGATGCAGATGTTCATTGGCTTAACTAGCAATCATTTCACAGCGTGGGTGCAAGCAACAGAGTACCCGATTCTGTAAAGCAAGGTTCTCCCGGCCCTGCTGTATGTCCTCCCCCAGCTTCAGAGATGCCTGCTTTGGTGCAGGTTCTCCTCCTCCTGTTTATTACAGCCATAGAGTCTGTGATAAACCCCTGTGTTCATTTCCCAGTGCCGTTTCCGTTGTGTTGCTTGGCACATTTGCTTTCAGTGTGGAAGAGTACGCTGGATGGCCTTTTCCCTGGTAGCTGCATGGTATTCCCGTCACGCCCCTGGGTAGCCTGTGGGTGGGCACACTCACGTTTCCTGACTGTCTGCCTCCTTTGGTCAGACTGTCGGCCGCGGTGTCACCGTTCTGCCCTGTCTCCGGGTCCCCTCACCCTTTTGTTGTGGTGTTGAGTTGTGTGGAGCTGGGTAATAGCTCACTCCTTGCTAGGAGGCGTCTGGTGAATTCTCATCCCCCGTTCACAGTGAAGCTGCAGCGAACAGCTGTGCACGGGTTTGTCCTTGTGCACAGCTGCACCCTCTTAGCAAACTGCTGCCAAATAGTCTTCCAAAATGTGCTGTCCAACTTGTCCAGGGCTGTGTGCCTGTGGGGGCGCAGGTGGCAGGAGGGCCACTCCCTTTAACGGGAGCTTCGGGGCCTGTGCAGGGCCTGTGCAGGGCCTGTGCAGGGCCTGAAGCGGACGGCGTGGTCATCCAGAAGCAGTCCAGCCCTTCTTCCCTTGCGTACTGAGAAGGTATCAGGCTCTGCATGGCTGGGTCTGTGGCACAGGCAGAGGAGGCTGTGCAGGAAGCTGGCTCCCGTCACACCCGGACAGGGAGCTCGACTGCCTGCCTCAGGGCACTGGCCAGCCCACCCACAGGCCGAACCCCTCTCTGTAGGAGGCCGACGGGCGGATCCTGCAGGCGCTCCTGGAGAAGGAAGACCAGCTGCAGCGCGCCCAGCTCGCCAGGCGGGAGCAAGCCCTGGCCGACGCAGCCTGGATGAAGCAGGTCATCGAGGAGCAGCTGCGGCTGGAGAAAGCGAGGGAGGCAGAGCTGCAGCTGCTGCTGAGGTGAGGGCACAGCAGCTGGGCAAGAGGCTCTTGACCTCTCCTCTGGGTCTGTGAGATGCCCTCAGGCCACAGGGTGAATTATCAGTCCTCAGAGCTCACTCATCATCCTCAGGGAACATGTCTTTGCTAGTGGCTTGGGGTGATGACCTCACGTTAATCAAGGTGGAAGGCATATGGTTAAGATGATTATTTATGTAAAGTCTGAAAACCTTGGGGGGAGATTGCTCCGGTGTGGAAATGTTTAATGCTGCTTGGCTCTGCGCAAATCGGTCTGGATCCTAACATGCTGCATGTTGCCCTGGGGCATCTCCACCTGCTCAGGGATCTCCTTAGCACCCTTGGGACTGCTGACTTATGTGTCCAGCTTTGGGGCCTAAAAGTCCAGCCCGTAGATGGAAATAGCCAAATAACAGGCAGTATGCATTGGTGTCAGACACTGTTCCTGGATCCAGACAGACAGCCAAGTGGTGGGTACATGGCTCATAGAAACCGAGGAGGTTGCCAGCTGCCTCCAGGTGAGCTAGTAGCCATCCTGGGAGTGTGGTGATCTGGCTTGGCCGAAGGTACCGCCCTCCCTTCTCTGATCCTGATGGCTTTATTACCTCATGCTCAATGGATGCAGTGCTTTTATTTTTTTTCTTTAAGGAGATGAAGTATTGAATGATGACGTAAAATGCCATGGAAGTGTTGTCCGTAACTGTCGTCTTTGGAAAGCTGGAGTGGATGAGCGTGCCTAAAGCTTGGCAGCTGTGTGTGTGCCCTGTTTCCATTCTCTGCCTTTGGTGGCCTAGAGCCTCTGCTGTCTCTTTTGTGTTTGTCCAGGGAGGAGGCCAAGGAGATGTGGGAAAAGAGAGAAGCAGAGTGGGCTCGAGAGCAAAGTGCGCGGGACAGACTAATGAGTGAGGTAACTCCAGCTGCCGGCCTGGGAATGAGCCTGCTCTGGTTCTCTTAGGTAGCATCTAAGTCACCGGGGACGTAACACAAGCTTACTAGAAAGGACGGACAGACTGCAGACGTACAGAAAGGACAAGTAGGACGTCTCCAGAGCCCTCTTGTCCACAGCCGCTTCTGCACTTCTGTCTCCTGGGCTGTTCATGGTTTCTCTGGCACATGGATTTTTTTTCACTGTGGTGTTTGATTTGAGCATTCTCTCAGCACCTCACCAGTGGCAACACCACATGTCTGCAGCTGCAGCTTGCTCTCCCACCCTCCAGTGGGTTCCCTGGGGCCAGCAGCTAGCAGTGGAGCAGAGTGTGTGAGGGGTACAGAGAACCCAGTTGGCAAGCCCTTGTCACGACCCCTGACTGAAAGCTTCACTGAAGGGATCTGGAAGGATCAGTTCTGTTTAGGAATCAGGCTATGGTTGGTTGGTTGGATGGTAGGTTGGTTGGTGCTCACTTTTGTATTCCGTACCCTCTGGCTTCTCACTTCAGTTTTCCCCGTTTGTGGCCACATTATGTGTGTCCGCCACCCCCACCCCCCGCCCACCTCCCGAACCCCGGACAGTGTAGGCGTCAGCATGTCTGCTGGCTTGGCTCCTGGCCTGGGTTGGGACATCACATGGCTCTGGCTCAAGGTCCAAATTGCAAACAGCAGCAGGTGCCTGCTACCTGGAGTCGTGGAGGAGGATGCATGACTGCATCCTGGGTGCCTGTGTGGCTCACTGCTGCTGGGCTGAGCCTTGCTGCGTTTTTCTGGAGACCCTCGTCCTATGTGGAGGGCTCCCCAGCATTTTGCTGTCCTCCCAAAGCACTGCTGTATCATGTAGGTTGGAGTCTTAGGTAGGATTTCCACTACTGTGATAAAGACATGATCTAAAGCAACTTAGAGGAAGGGTTTATTCCGTCTTACAACTCTCAGATCACAGTCTGGTAGTGAGGGAAGTCAGGGCAGGAATGGGAGCAGAAGCCATGGAGAAAGGCTGCTTACTGGCTTGATCCTCGTGACTGGCTTTGCTTGCTTTCTTACACAACTTCAGGCCACCTGTCAATGGGTAGTTCCACTCACGGTGGGTTGGCCCCTTGCTTATCACTGTCAAACAGGAAAACTCACTACTGACTTGCCAACAGGCCACCCTTATGGAGGCATTTTCTCAGCTGAGATTCCTCTTCCCAGATGACTCTAAGGTCTGCAGAGTTAGAAGACACAAACAAAACAAAATGAAAGAAAACAAAAGTAACCAAGACTGTCGGGGTGGGTGGCCGCGCTGGGCAGGGAGCTTAGGCCTGCTCCCTGTGTGGTCGGGCGGGTCAGGATGGGTCGTATAGTCACAGCTGCAGCCACTGTGGGGCTTGGAGTAGGTGCTGAACTGCAAACCTTCTTTTTCCCCTTGGCCAGGTTCTGATAGGGAGGCAGCAGCAGATACAAGAGAAGATTGAACAGAACCGGCGGGCGCAAGAGGAGACCCTAAAACACAGGGAAAAGCTCATCCAGAGTCTGGAGGAGGCGAGGCAGTTAGCTCAGCGCGCAAAGGAGGAGCGTGAAGAGCTGAAGTCAGCCAGGAGGCAGGAGCTAGAAGCCCAGGTGGGGGCCCAGGGCAAGGGTGGCCTCTGCAGGAGAGGACCCTGGAGGCAGTGGGCTCTGCAAGGCCTCAGGATGCAGGAGGGCAGAGCTTGGAGTCCCTGGTTACATTTCATTTCTCACATCCCTTTTGACTTCTGCAGCAGTCCTGACATTTTAAAAGACTCACATATATGCGTGTGTCTGAATGTGGGTTTGTGTACTTGTATGCAGTACCCAGGGAGGCCAGTAGGAGGCACTGGATCTCCTGGAACTAAGTCACAGGCAGGTTGAAAGCAGCTCACCTGCAGAGAGCAGCTTGTTCTTCTAACCATGGAGCCATGCCTCTGGTGCAGGCTCCATTCTGGTTCCTTAGTCTCTGTGGGGACCAGGCTAATGCCACTTACTTTCTTCTTTCTATCCCATTGTTCTCCACACACATGGCTGCATTCAGACTGTTCACGAGGGCCACAGCGCCATGTGTATGGCATTTTCCCATCCTTAGTTCCATGCTGGCTCCTGGCCCTTGCCATTGGCTTCCTTGCTTGGAGGCAGGTTTGTGCCTTATGGGCCTTGTCTCTGGTGACTCTGTCCTTCCTTGGTGTTCAGGTTTCAGAGCGCCAGCTCCAGGCCTGGGAAGCAGCCCGGCAGGAGGAGGAGGAAGAGGAGGCGGCCAAGCAGGCAGAACAGCTCTCTGATGCTCTGCTGCAGCAAGAGGCGAAGACCATGGCTGAGGAGGGCTACCGGCCCAAGGTAGGCACCTGCCAGGTGACAGCCCACCACAGCCCCGTCCTGAGCTCTCTCTTGTCTCCTCCCTGTGAACGACCTCAGATGGTCCAAGGCAGTTTTGCTCTGGTTCCTGCTGCTTTAGACTTCGCAAAGACCCAATAGCCTGCCTGCTCATCTTATACCTGTCCACCCTGTTGGGGGACAAAGTGCAATCTAGAAAAGCCAGGGCCATAGCTGGTGAGGTGACAGAGAAGTCAGGTGACCGAGAGACCTACTTACCTATCTCCCCTTTCCCCTCTGCTCATCTCTTTCTGTGCATCATATGGATCACGTAGGAGCGAAGGCTGTCCTGCCTGTTAGAAGGGACCTGCTGGCTAGGCTGTCTGGAGCTAGGGCCACCTGGGCCCTGGCACTCTGAGGGTGTGTGCTGCAGAAAGAGTTGGTTGCTTCCCTGTAGGGGTACAGGTGGGAGAAGACAGCGCAGGTCTTCCATCTGCTGTAGACCCTCAAAGCCCTACAAGGCAGAGGGCTCTGAGCACAAGGAACAACATTGCCAAAGTCACGGAAGCATGCATCAGTGTGTCAGGATCAGGGCTTCACAGAGCACATGCCAGTGTCTCAGGGCAGGTCATGAAGGACCTCATTTGTGGCTCAGGGTCAAGACTTTCTCAGCTGCAAGTGAAAATGCACTTGCATGCTCCTAATAAAGGGAGGTTTAGTTCTTAGTGTTCCTGAGTGCTAACCTGATAAATGGTGAATGCTTTCTTTTCTCAGCCCTGTGGATACCCCAAAATTGCTTGGGACTGACATTGAGCACAGAGAAGCATGCTGACTTGATACAACTCCAGACAACTGTACATTGCTTGGTTCTAGCCCAGACTCAGGGTGCTGCTGGGTAGTTCTGCCACCATGCCTGTTCAGGCTCATCGTGGTCCAGCTAGATGTCAGGATGTCACGGGTGTCCAGGTTCTGGTGAGAGCCGTTCCCTGCTTTCCTCACCCACAGGTCTTACAGACTTGTGTTTACAGCGTTGCCCAGAGGCTGCACAATGCCTCATACGTAGCTTTTAGAGCCACACAAGAACAAGTCATGTTCTATGACAGGACACGTAGGTTCCTGTCGTCTGTCTAGTTGTCAGCTCTAGGGAGGACCAGACAGAGAGGAGGGAGCCTTTCAGGCTCTAAAGTTGCTGTTTAGAAGTTATTCTGTGGGGCTGCAGAGATGGCTCAGAGGTTAAAAGCATTGCCTGCTCTTCCAGAGGTCCTGAGTTCAGTTCCCAGCAATCATATGATGGCTCACAACCATCTATAGTGAGATCTGGTGCCCTCCTCTGGTGCACTGGGACACATGTAGGCAGAACATTGTTTACATAATAAATAAATAAATCTTTTAAAAAAAGTTATTCTGTTAGAGGCGACTTGTGGGTCTCCGTGTAGTTATTTCCGGTTATTAGCTGCATGGCCCCAAGGACCACGTGGAACGTTCTGGAAGAGCCCGGCTTCCGGAAAAGATGGTGACAGAGGAGCTCCTTGTCTGGAAGTATGAGACCCCCACAGGAGCTGGGCTGGGGCTCAGTGTGGGTGCTTACTGTGTGGTCCTCATCCCAGCCCAACAGCACCAGGAAGAAAAGAGTCCATACCACACGTGAGCACATGCCACCCTGAAGAGAGTCACTTGGCTGGCTAGCCTGGTAAAGGCAGGGGCCCGGGATGGGACTAGGGGCCGCCTGAATCTGGGGAAGGCCTTTGTGCAGCCCTGCCGGAATTAAGTGCCTAGGGGAACATGTGGCCTTGGAGAAACGGGCTGAGCCTCAGAACCACAGATGAGTCCCTGTCTCCCCGTCAGCTCATGTGACCCAGCCCCCAGTTCACCTCTCCAAGCAGCTATGGGTCCTGGTAGCAACAGTTTCTTTTTATGACTTGTATTTTTCCACATTCCTCCTCTGGGGTTTGTTTTCATCATTGTATTCAAGATTCCATACCTCAGTAAACTCTAGCTAATTATAGGGCATTTTCTCTGGTTATGGGAACCAGAGCTACACAGAAAGCCTGGGTCTGAGGATGCATCACTTCCCTTCCACCAAGGAGGCCCTCCTCAGTCTGTTCATTTCACACCGTGGTTCTGATGTGGCCCCTGAGTTGTTTTCATTATGCGCTTGCGATCACCCGCCCTTTTCAAACGCTCATTGACTGTGAAATAAAGCTCTATTTCAGTGTCACCCCAGGCTGTCACTGCTGCTTTCTACTGCTGTGGGCGGGCACTTGGTGGGCTGATGGGCGCGGGGTAGGCAGGTGGGCGCAGGGGTAGGAGTCAAACCCTGGGCTCAGCCTTGGACACGTGTGGCATGAGACAGGCCATGGTGTAGCAGGAGCTGAACACAGCCCAGTGCCATCTGAGTCTTCGGGAGCCTTGCGTTCGTGAACTGGAGCATTGCTCTCAGGACTGCTGTGATGCTTCGAAGAAACAGGCCTGCAGTTGTTCGTGACCTGGCCGAGGTTCAGCCATGTGAAGTTGGCACCTCATCTTTGAGGAAGGAGACTTTGCACGATCACCAGGACACACTCACATGCTTCTTTGAACACTCTGCAGAGCCTTTATTTTCACTCCGTGTAGCTGTTTTCTTTACTCATTTTTCTTTGGCTCCACCTTTTTCTACGGAATTGGCTTTCTAAAGCTCCTTGTGTAACTGCAGCCTTCAGTGTCTGGGAGGACATGCGGCTGCCTGTAGGCCTCCCCACAGTGCTCTTTAGCACACAAGTCTGCGTGCAGCCCCTTGTGTTCTTTTCCCTACACACCCAGCCTGTTTCCCTGTCACTGCAGGAAGACGTCAGTGAGTCCCCAGGCTGGGCCAAACTGTCATAGATCCTCTTGACTGGTGTTTGGCTCCCAAGACCGCACTGAGCACTTAGACCTCACTGGCCACACCACTGGCTCCTAGCTCTCATAGGTGTTTCTCAGCCTTTCTGGGCTATGGATGGAAATTAGTTTCTCAGGGACCAGTATGGTGGCTTAGTGGTTAGAGCATTTGTCACCAAGTCTGATGAGTTCAGTCCCTGAGACGCATATGGTAGAAAGAGGGGACACATGCACACACACACACACACACACACACACACACACACAGAAAGTAAGAAGTGAGCATCTCTGAGGACACCTGCAGTGACACTGGCCTCTTCCAGTTGTCATCTCAACAGGGCGATCCTGAGGCTCAGGCCTTGACACCTCCCAGGTCTTTCAAGGTGACATGCAGCAGGCCTCTGGTCTCTGCATTGGGACTTCAAGGGACTACAGCCTGGCCCCCACTCCCACACCCCAAAACCTCCGCCATGGCGCCTGGGTCCCCTGCAGTCATCGGATGAGTCCAGACCCCATGACAACCCGGAAACCTGTCTGCTCTCTGCGGTCTCAACTATGTACAAAGTTGATAGGACATGTCCCAGTCTGTTCCACCCCATCACTGTTGTTCAGGGTGATACAGCCACCCTTTGACCCATCTTTCCCTCACACTGTAGTCAGGCCTTTTACAGACTCACATCTGCAGTGTGGAAGTCACTGGCCTGCAGCTGCCTCCTGGAAGCCCTCCTAGAACACGCCACCCTGCATGCTGGCCCAGGAAAGAACCTGGGACAGACGTGGCTCCCAGGGCTGGGCCTGTAAGAGCTCACTCACTACTGAGGCTGTTTGAATCTGCGGTGTTCCACACTCACTCCAACAGCATAAAGCTTCTAAACCAAGCTCTAGAGAAACAGTCCTGCCTGGGTAGGTTAAAAAGTTGCTCGAAAGCAGTAATTATGGAATTCCACTGTTAGGGAAACAATCTGCAGTACGGTGATTTCTAACACGATAAACGGTATTTTTCATCCTGGCATGTGCCACCCAGCCTGGTTTACATGGCAGTGGGGATGGAATCCGGCCAGGGCTTCGTAATGCTTGGCAAGCACTCCCAATCAAGCTCCACCCCCATGCAGTTTTCCTCATCTTGGGTATTTGTCTATACTTTTTCACAGAGAAAGAACAGCAGCAGCCTTTGGAATGAAAAGAAATGTTACTTTATGAACAGGGTCGATGAGGTGGCGCAGCATTTAGTAGCGCTTGCTGCCGAGCCTGAGTGCCAAGTTCAACCTTGGGGACCCCCCAGAGAACTGACTCCTGCAAGCTGTCCTCTGCTTTCCACGTGCCCCCTCCATGCATATGCAGTAAATAAAAATGTAATAAATGTAAAAGATACTGTAAAAGGTAAACGCTAGAGATAATTAAAGTCGTAAGGTGTGAACCAAACCCTACTCTTGATAGCATGCCCCTAGCAGGGAAAAGTCATGGCCGGCCTGTGGGAGTGTGGGAGTCTCCTGCCAGGGCCAGGCTCTGCCTCTGAGCACCAGGACGGACTACATGGGGTATTCTAAATGGCAGTCTATAATGCTAGCCTCGGTTACAGGAGCTGCCAGACTCCTCTCCTTCCCCAGGCTGGGCGAGTCGGCCTCCTTGCGTGCTGCTTTCTTCTCCTGTCAAATGGAAACCACCCTTCCTCCATGGGTTACTGTGAAGATGCAAGGGGTCTTTCATTATGTGCATGTCTGTGGGTTAGACACACCACGGTGCATCTGTGGAGGAAGAGGGGTGCTCACAGGAGTTGATTTTCTCTGCTGTGTGGGTTCCGGCACCAAAGTCAGGTTGTCGGGCTTGGAGGCAAGTGCCTTTACTGGCTAAGCCACCTCACCAGCACTCTGAAGAGGGGACACATGTGAAGAACTTCAGGTGCCTGACAGTCAGCTAGAAGTATAACGTCACGCTCAAGAACTGCTCAAGAGCTGCACACGTGCTATGTGCGGCATGGAGCTGGGGGTGTCTGCAGCAGCAGCCTCAGGCAACCACACAGCCAAGTCAGGGACCACGACGGGTCTGTGATGGGCTCAGCAGCTCTGCAGGGCTTCTTGGAACCTGGCCCAGGAAGCACTCAGGGTGTGAACAGTTCTGGGCTGGGGGTTGTAGGCCGTCCCTGGCAAGCAGGGCCACACAGGGCGTGACATTCCACCTTCCTCAGACTTCATTTGGAGAGGCCTGGAATTGGTCGTTTCCGTCCCCTCCTCCTTCCATCTGGAAGTACCACGTCACCTCCCAGAACATGCTGGTGGGACTGTAGGTGACCCGGAGAAACCCAGGTGCACAGCCCCCATGCACCCCTGCACAATGGCTCTATTTCTGAAAGAAAAACAGACTGCTGGCCTTCAGCGTGAGCTAACTCTATTGCCTCACTGCTTGTTTGGAAGAGGTGAGAGCATGTGCATTGTGTTGACCTAAAAATGAAAGGGTAAGTGTACCTGGAGAAACGCAGGGCTAACAGCTTGGCATGATGGCACATGCCTGAAATTCCTGCTCAGGGATCAGAGGCAGGGGGATGACAGCTTAAGGTATGCCTGAGCTGCATGAGACCCTGCACAAATACAAAACAAACAGGTTGTATACTCAACACAGGAAGGAAGACTAAGGTGGGTGTCCCAGGAGATAGAGGCCGAAAACGCACCTCCCCTTAAAGACACAGTGATGTGGGACTCGCCCCAACCCCACCCCGTGTCTGGAGAGGTCCACCAGCTGGAGGGAGGCACATGACCACAGACACTTCAAGAGACTGTTTATTGCATGACTGGCAGGCACAAATTCCAGAACAATTTTACACAAGGGGACAGTAACTCCAGGAACACAATGTTTAATGACAATGAGAAACAAGTACAGGAGAGTAAGCAGCTCGGGTTAACAACTGGGATGAGATGCAGCATTTGTTTTGTAAAAGCATGGGCGATATCCAACTAGGACAAGGAAGGAAAGGAAACTGGACTACACGAGGCTCATGGGAGCCGTGGAGGACCAAAATGTGCTACTTTCAATGAGGGTCACTGGAGTCAGGGTAGAACACTGACACTGTGATTATAGTCCCAATGGCATACAACACTGGACTTAGTCTTTGGCAAGTTAAGAACCATCGTGCTGAGGCCACGGGGCCTTCTGCAAATGGAGCTTGGGACAGGGTCTGTTCATCAATTGTACCTTCATCTTCTCAGTCTCCAGAAGTGAGGTACACAGGCACGAAGGCAGAATGCCAGGGAAGAAGGGACAGAGCAGCCTGAGGGGAGGCAGAGCTGCCTTGCGCAGGCAATGGGACCCACATGCAAGAATGGCCAGGACAAGCATTGAGACAAGATGTGTTTGCCTATAGGAACAGTATATTCTGACCCCAGGTCTCCTGCAAGACTCTGTGTGGCACCTCCTGCTGTTTCCTCAGCCTCCACCAGGGAGCTTCAGCCTGAGGAAGACAAAGGACTGACTGCGAACTCTGGTGTTCTTGAGGGCATCTGGAAATGCTGCACTGGCCCCATGTTCCTTGATTTTCTATAGACAGTGTCCTCTGTGGCATGTCCTTGCCTTTTCACAGAAACACTGTTCCATCTGACAAACAATTCTCTTCCTAGAAGCTGCTTAACAGAGGCCCATACTCCCTGGGGATCATGGGAAACATGGATTGGAACCAGAAGGGCAGTACAGTCCTTGAAGCAGGCAGAAAGCTTGTAAAAAACAATACCTGAGCTCAAACTAGCAGGCCCCTTTCTAAATGCACTCCTGGGTATCCCACAGGTTGCCTGGCTAGACAAGTGCTTCTGGAGAGCTGCTCCTTCCCCAGACCACACCATTTGAGGCAAGCTGACCTGGTGCACCTGACTCTGTAGTGGCGCTGTTTCCAGGACAGAATTTGGCCAAGCCACAATGGTGATGAGTCAGGCTCAGCACACAGTGAGGTGACCTCCACTTTGATCATTCCCACAGAACATATGGGGAAGAGACTGATGGTGACTTCATAGCAGCTGATTGCTGCCTTCCATGGCTGGCTCAAAGGCTGCTTCTGGTGGCCAGCAATGACAGCCCTCATGTTGCAGTTTACAGACCCTAGAATGTCTGTGTTGACTGTCCACATGGCGTAAAATAACCCAAATTCCTGTTATCTTGAAAAACCAAAGGTCTGGCAAACACAGGTCCACAGCAATGTGAGAGGAGCAACCGAGAGAAGAGCTGCTGTCCTTGCCGGAGGGGCGCGCTCTCCAGATGCCCTGGGATCTGCTGTGCAACTGGCTGGCTTCGCAGCCGCACTGCCTGCTCTCTCAGGTCAGGGCCTGAGCTCTACCCAGAACAAGACAGGTGTGAAATGCTGGGACAGGAATGGACCAGAAAGAGCTGTAAGTACTGTAACACCAGTGCTGCCATGGCCTGGATGTCAACCTCTGCCCCTGCAGAGCTTTGGGAGAGCTGCAGCCAGCCACAGCAGCTGGGAGCTCAGAGTACCAGGGAGGGGTGGGGGAAACGGAGACGGCTGCTTCTTACTTGGGAAGACATCCTTCCAGAGGAGACATTCGAAGCTGTAAAGGGTGAAAAGATGAAGGGTGCACTATGCTGTCCACCACGGCAGGGGCGTCAGCAACAGCCTGCGAGAACTGTGGTTCTGAGTGACTGTCTGGCTGGGGGAAGCGGCCCTTCACAAGGGGTGGTGCTCCTGCCCTGAACAGGATGTAGAGCGTGGATTCATAACTACTTTTCTGGACATTATGGAGACTTCAGTATGATGGTAAAATCTTTATAGGTAGAAAATCAAGATAAAAATATTAAATAACACAATACAACATGGTACAAAAGTTAGAAGTGGGTTACTTCCTTGTCCCTCCTGAGAGGTGAGCTCTCTTTAGGGAGTGGCGAGGACACACTCTCCACGCACATACCGAGAGTCCCCGCTCGGAAGGAGCAAACACTGCTGAAAATATTTTTTTAAACCCAACTCTCTTATCTCTTAAGAAAATGTTTTACTAAAAATATCAATTATAGTTTTAGCCATGGGTAGAGATTTTTAAAGGATGGAAAAGTTTTAACAAACTGAACAATTACTTTTAAACATATCTGATAATGACCTAAGCGCTTGGTGACAAAACAACGGAACAGAGCTAAGCGGCAAACAGGCACAAATAAGGCAATGGTTAAATTACAGTCGAAAATCTGTTAGAAAACATGCAAAAATAATACTGAGTTTTCCTTTTAAAAAGTTTTACGTCATCATTAAACGTGTCTGTAAAAATCTGAAGAGTTCACATCTAAACTGAAGCTGGACTCTCAGAAACCTAGAAAACAGAAGACAGCGCCCTGCAGTTCAGTTGTTGTTCTCTTTGGTGGTGATCGTAACCAGCTGTTTGGCGGCCTTGGCGATATCATAGGCACACTGGATGACCTGCTGAGTGACCAGCTGCACATCCGTGGGTAAGCTCGAGTCTCCTGGAAGGGCCTTTCTGCACTCCGACTGGAGTCGGTAGGCACTGGACGTCAGTAACCGGAGGGAAGTCCTCACCGTGTCAGACTTGGGTTTCTAAAATCAAAAGTACAGCTGTTTACTGTGGGCTGCAGGGCAAATCCAGCAGCAAGGAGGAAGCCTGCTCCTGAGAGTGGCGTGAGCTGTTCCCTAAAGTCCAATTGTTTTCAGTTGGGTATTATTTTATATATTTATTTTTGGTTTTTCCAGACAGGGTTTCTCTGTGTAGCCCTGGCTATCCTGGAACTCAGTCTATAGACCAGGCTGTCTTTGAACTCACAGAGATCTGCCTGCCTCTGCTTCCTGAATGCTGGGATTAAAGGCGTGTGCCACCGCTGTCTGGCCAATTGGGTATTTTAAACATTACCACTCTACAGCCTTTGGCCTAAAGAGAATGAGATGCTCTGCATTTGAGGGATTTTAGTAGTATACACTATTTCTAGGTATCACGTAGGTGATACAGCCTGAACTTTATTGCTTTGCCTTGCAGCACCTGACTTAAATATCTACGTCTTATTAAAACTCATATTCATGCACAGTGAAAACATCTCAAAGACCTATAAAATGACATTTTTAAAAACAATGTGCTAAAAAACATAAGGAACAGGTTACAAGCTGTCTGTAAAACTCTATGGTAGAGGTTGGCCTAGCATGCACAGGACCCTGGTTTCAACCCAGCGCCTTGCTCCTCACCTAAGCTAACATAAAGGTCAGAAAGCAATGCTGAGAAGTTCATTTGAAGAGAGTGAGTGGGAATCTCGACTTACCTTGGGGAACAAGGCAGCCATCTCGGTCACCGCAGCATGTGTCCTCTCTGAGCAGGGGATATAGCTGTGAGATATTGGAGAGGTCATTAAAAAACAGCTCAGATGATTCAGAGGGAGAATCCTCAGAGGCCGGTCAGATTCCATTTATTTCCTGTTAATGAATAGGCTAAGGCTGTGGCCTGCTCTGTGTGCCCACATGAGAGCAGGCACATAGCTACAAACCAGGCTCCCCATCCTTTCATGAACACTCCTGCACCCTGAGAAGAAGAGTCCCAGGCCTGAGATCTAGTGTATGATCTGGGCGACTGAGGTGAGGATAGCCTCAGCTCATTTACATCTCATGTCTACCTTCCTGATGTCTAGAAAGAAGGGCAAGGTGAAAAGTAAAGGACTGGAACGCACACAGCTGCATCATTCAGATGCTCCCAGCAGCAATGGGGGAACTGCTTCACATCTGTGTCTAGAAACGGCCTTTTCCACACAGGCATGGCGGCTGACTTGTGATGAGAAAGGGAAGAGCCAAGACCTTGGCTTTATGTAGGATTCTTTAGCACGCTGACAAAGCAGAAGGGGGTCGCACTTGGCACACTGTGCCAGGTCTGCAGCCTGAGGACTGCTTGTACAAGGTGTAGAGGGACAAACAGAAACGTTGCCACCACGCCTTGGTTATGTGCAGGACTGCCCCACTGCCTGGGAGGGACATGGGCACAGGAAAGTACATTTGGAGGCACTTTCTGCAAGGAAACACTGCCAAGACTTTGTAGGTTTGGTTGACAAAGCTGTTTCTAAACATTGCAGACTCAAAGCCTCAAGTAACAATCTTTCCCTGCTTTTTTTTTTTAAATCATAAAATTGACTTTTGAATAGTCTATCAAAAGCCATTTCTATTTCTAATTTTGTATTACTTTGTGTCTCTGTGTGAGTGAGTGATAGAGAGGAGAGAGATGACAGAGACATGGCCATGAGCAAGCGAGGCTGCAGGAGGGCTGGCGGCAGGGGGGACTTGCTGGACTCAGGGAACTAGAACCAAGACAGAGGTGCAGGCACACCTAGGTAAACTTATCCTGATGATAAGGAAGCAGAAGGGGTGAGGCTCCCATAGCACAGCCCCATATCCCAAAGGAAAGTACAGAACCCCAAACAGTTAATAAAAAGGCCAACTCTAGTTTCAAATCAGAAGCATAAGCCAATGGTTTTAAAATCTCATTTTCTCCTGGTCTTCAAAAGAAAGATCGAAATCTTCCCAAATTGAAGCAAATCCACCTTGCAAGGTTGGAGGCATAAAAAGGCTGCGGGCACATATCTACCACCATCAGAGAAGGATCTACATCAGTGTGAAGCACCAGCAGTGTTTACCTGTGTAAGGAATTGAGCACAGGGCATCCAACAGACTGGGAGCACTCAGGGAGTGGCTCTTGTTTAAGACTCCCTTATCACTCTCACACAGTGCTGTGGAAGTTGGAGCGCTGTGCTGCTCTATGTCAAGTTAACATGTGTAGCTGTGTGTGCACAGAGAAGCCAGGCAGCTCTAGAGTGGCCTCCCCTAAGAACACCTTGTCTGGAAACCTTGTCCTAAAGCCTCTTGGAAGCAGCAGTGGCCAGAAGATTCACTAGCAGTTGTGAGATGGCTTCTTCCCCTCACCCCAGGGAAGCTGCTGTCCTAGTATACCATACTTTTACTTCTAGATGTATTTATTTTCAGATTACTTTGTAACATGATGAAAGCAATAAAAACACCACACTTAAAAACCCCCAAACTCAGGACGTACGGGTGGTGCCTAAGTTCCCAACCACCCTGAAGTCACAATGGAACTCAAGCAGGCCCTGCAGGTATGGGCATCCACTCCCAGACAGCAGCCCGCACCTGTCATGCTTGCTCTCCTGGGCTGCTCTTAGGAGCTCCTGGATGTTTTTGGTGATCTGTTCGGTCTTCCGGATGACATCTTCTGTGCTGGGGAGGGTGGTGCTGGGGATCACGAGCGTCTCTGCTGTGTCTGGCAATGAGCCATCACCTTGCCACAGCATACTCCTTTGCCGTCCCTTCCGGTTTGACCTGTGGATAGTTACAAACGGCTAAGCATGGCCAGCACTCATGAGCTGTTGCTGCTCCTACGACTCACATCTCTGGCACTCAAGCAGGCTGTTCCTGTGGTCTCCTTTATCCTGTTTAGCAGGAGGACTCACGAGCTCTGCTTATCAACCAGCATCTATGGCTACACTAAGACCTTTTCATTCTGTCCTGGGCTGGAGGTGAGGGCTGCTGGTAGACAGGGTGAAGAAGGGAGATGGAGGAAGTAACAGATGGAGGGCACAGCTACCTACAGGCTCGACAGGGGCACAGCACTGCTGTAGCCCAGCAGGTGCTACACAGCCGACAGCGCTGAGGTGCCATGCGAGTGCAGAAGACACACAGTGTGTGATGCCAGAGAGCTAGGCCAGCTCAAGCCCTGAATGGTCTTTGGACACAGGGTGAAGATGGATAGCCTGTCCTGTCTGCACTAACAGCCAACTCCCTCACTCTCCTGTGCACATACACCATGTCATCTGGCTCAGTGTCATAGGCAGTGTTGTCATAATCGCTCTCCGGTGTGCTGTTCTGCTTCTCCAGCCTGGAGGCCTAAAAAAACAGAAGGGACCCCATTAGTTTTGAGCATCGTGGCCTTCCTCAGTCTTCCCAGGGAAGTGTTCCTGCCAAGCTATGTTACCTTCATACCCAGAGCTCATTTGGGAAAGGAGCCAGCCTTTTACTGGAAATCTAGTAAAAGATGAGTGAATAGTGGGTCCAAAAATGTTTTTTTCACTTGTGCACCATTTCTTCTTAGTTTAAGAGTAAGCCCTAAACAGACCCTGGTGCCAGCTAAGTCTGACACAGTCACGCATGCACTCAAACACACTTATCTCTTGCAGTTCTGAAAGGAACACAGGTTTATAATGGAATGAGATGCAGTTGGTAACAAACACAGCAGCACTTATCTGAACACAGACCTTCAGAGCTGGAAGCTAACTCACATTATTCCATTTAACACCAGATAAGAAAAAAAGATCAAAACAAGCTAGCTGTCTGTTCTCAGGCAGAGCACATGAGCAGAGGATGAGAGCCTGGTCTCAAGCCATCTGCAGATCCCTCCATTACTGCATGCTTGGGAAGCTTGGATTGGCTGCTGCTAAGAACTGCTTTCAGGAATGGTTTTTATGAGCCCTCAAGAAAGCCATGCACTGTCTATGAACCAAATGGATTAGCCCAATATGACTCATAGTTCCAAAACACTTTACTTGTTTCCCAAAATATTTACCTCTGAAAATAGAAAATGGGTATAACTGTGAAGATTAAAATGAGCTGTATCTTCAAAGCAGGAATCCCTACAAACGGATTTAAGGGAATGGCAGCACCGTTAAAGGGAGGGCCTGTCAGTGTGACAAGATGTGTCCAGGATGAAGTCCTCTGGAGGAGGCGGGGCTTGGAGTGTGTGGAGAGAACAGTCTCTCAGTGTTTATCTGTGTGTGATAATCCCTCATCTAGAAATTGGCATAAGCTGATGCAAAATCTAAACTGATTACTGATTAGCTATTTCCAGCTGTGCACCCTGTACTTAAGCCATGTTCATCAACACACATAACTAGGAGATTCAACTGATGCAGGAGAGCACGGCAACGGCTGCGATTGTAAAAGCGTCACCTACACACACCAGGCAGTGTATTGTATTGCTAGCCAGAAAAATGGCTGCTAAAGAAGTTGGCTGGGGGAGTCTGCACAAGGCCCGTAGTTTGGCCAGCCCTGAGGTGGGGTGCCTGAGTCCTGCCACACTTTGCTTCTCTCTGTTTGGGGCCCTTGACATTTCCTCCTGGACTTCCTGTTTCCCCATCTATTGAAGACAGAGGGGTTGGCTTCCTAAAATCCACTATGAACTTTTCACCCACTCCAATTCATCTGGCAAATGATTAAGTGCTGGCTTGGAGCCTTATGAGATTATCAAGCTAAGTTCTTAAGTTCCTGCTTCATGGCTGGCAGATTGTAACCCGTTTTAAGTCAGGGGAATACAGCCGCTAAGGACTGCTTTCAGGGATGGTTTTTATGAGCCCTCAGGAAAGCCATGCACTGTCTATGAACCAAACGGATTAGCCCAATATGACTCATAGTTCCAAACCACTTTATTGGTTTCCCAAAATATTTACCTCTGAAAACAGAGAATAGGTAGAACTGTGGAAGCCCTTGTAGCAGATGGAGGGGGTACCATATTCAGTTCAAGGGCAGTGAAAGCAGGCTTCTGCTCTCAGAACTCCTACCCCACTAAGACCTTTCTTGCCTTTTATAGGGAATGTTTGACTAAGCTTTACTTAAAAAAAAAATTTCAAACACATACGCACACACACAAACTACATTTTAATTATGTTAGTTCATTCAGAGCTGCTCCAATGGGGGGAAAAAGCTAGAAAAAAGTATTAATACCCTCCATAATTTGTATTTTGAGACAGAATCTTGCTAGCCCAGGCCTGCCTTACATTTTCAATCCTTCTGTCTCTTGGAATCCAGTATCTCTATCGATGATTTTTGCTTTCCCTGATGCCAAGATGACAGTTAGAAAATGAATACATTACCCACAGTGATCAAAAGTGCCAACATCTGTTTAAAAATCTCAGAAGAGTGAGCCACATACCCACTAACAGTGCTCAGGAAATTCTCTTTAAGTGCAGAGGACAACCACCCAGGGACAATTACTTACGTACTAAGTCCTCCTCCGTCGTCAAAAAAGCATACGGGATTTCAATGTAGCCAGCATTTAAGCTTATGAGAATTACTGTGAGCATGCAGAGCCAGGATTGTTAAAGTGCTGCTCTCTCAAAGCTGTTAATAGAAAAGTTACCGTATAGCTGGTGTTGGTTCAGTTATGTAACAACTTGCCAGTTCTGTGCACCGACAAACCAGGGAACCCTAAACCCAGGACTAAGCTCCCAGAGCTCTGTAGATCCTAGATGACCTCTGTTCACTGTACACAAAACCCTGTCATTTCAGCAACTTGTCAAGCTACCAAAACACTGCAATTTTAAAAACAACAGAATCTTATGGGTAGTTAAGAAGGGCCTTTCTTGGCTCTTATTAACAAGATTATTAACACAGTGGGAGGTTTTGTGACTCTCTGACTGGAGCATTGGGGCAGAGCTCTGTGTCACTCTCAGGACTGCTCAGAAACACCCAACAGCAACAATTCTTTTGACTTAACTACTTCAAAAGGACTGAGAGAAAACTCAAAGAGAGCTGGCTAGCCACGTGACCCTGGCAGTAGACAGGGATCCTTATCACACTTGTTGGAGACCTCTTGCCTATGGTTCCCTTCCCTCTTGTCACCCTTACTACAGACAAACTGAGCTGGAATCTGAAGGGTGAGTCTTCAGGCTCTTCCCACAGCCTTCCTCAGGAGAAAATCATCATGCTCTGTATATACATGAAAGCATTTTTCTTTTTACATGACAGTCCCTTTGGGAACAGGGACCATGCCATTTAAATACTTTGCACTCTTTAGCTGCCTTTCTCTAAGGTGGGTGTGGGGGACCCCCAGCCCCTCTGGAGGACTTGTCTGATCATGCTTTGCTTTTCAGAGTGTGATTCACAGAGCAGCAGAAGGGCTTGGCCAATCATTACAAGTGGACAGCTTTAAGCCTGTGGCCACCTTGTCTTTGCACTGCTAGCAAGCATGACAGTACCAATCAAGGGCAGGGTTTGTAAGATGTGATATGCTAACCCAAACATAATACTTTTAACTTCATAACTGTAGCTTAAAAAAAACAAAACAAAATGAAACCCTGGATGGATTTGCCCTGTTGTATTTAACCAGCAGCCAGCTTAGTTTTCTGTTTGCTTGCTTGTTTGTTTGATTTTTAACAAGACAGTGTGCTTGGAATGAATGTGATGGGCTGATTTGTGAGCTTGGTTAAACAGGTGAGAAGGAGCAGTGTGGAGTTACACAGAGGGAGGCCAAGTCTCTTCAGGTACAGATGTGCATGAGCGCATGTGCGGCTGCTGTGAGAACCCGGGAGCAAAGCGCTGCTTCATGCAGGACAGAGGGCAGTTAGCAAGGGCAGGGTCAGAAGGGCCAGCGCCCAAGCAGAGTCCAGGAGCACTGCCCCTCCTCCAGGGCAGACCATTTAGAGTGTACTTAACCCTTCGGGTGCTTTCATCCCTGGACCAGGAAAGTGTGGAGGGGAAGGAAGGCAGAGACGAAGAGGAGGTCACAAGTGCACTCCTCCCAATCTGGAAGTGGAGAGAGAAACAAGCTTGGGAAAACACAAAACAAATGAATCCCGGGCTCCCACCCTACAGCTTGTGACACAATAGTCCCATGGGCTCAGTGACAGCTGTGACACACCTCCTCTGCACTTAAAAGTCCTCCTCTCCATAAGGGAAAAGATAGCATAGCTGTCATAGCTGTGCGCAGCTTGTGGTGACGCTTGTTCTCCAGCTGAGAGGAGAACATCACACAAGCACTGTGACTGACTGACTGTAAGCTGGTGCACACCATCAGCCCAGTCTCAGTACAGACATAGCGCAGCACAGCAGCCTCGCACACTAACTCCCTCTAACTCAAGTACACTGTGGAAGCTACTAAGCTGCCTAAGTTTTCTTTCAGTTATATAAAAATAAGACTCTTTTTTACTTAGTTCAATGGCAAATCTATCAGGTCAACGGTCTTCAAGCATTAAAACCAAATAAAGGGAAGATAAGACAATACACCTCTGGTTACAGACTCAGTTTTATCATCCTCAAGTCCGATAAAATTAAAATCAGCTCAATTTATTGGATCTTATCATAACTTCACATGACTAAGAATTTTATTGACATTCTCTATGTACCTAGAAGAAATAAATTTTGATGTTCAAAAGGATAAATGTTACACTCTGAAGAAAGAATTGCATAAGGCAGTTTAAGCCTGCTGTGGTCTGTGAACACAGACATAGTCATAATAAGTCAACCCTGAAGACGGAATGTTTTGGTGTTTGAAGGCTTGGCATCCCAATGAGCGCACCAATACAGCCAGTGAGGACCTGCTGCAGAGCAGTCTTGGGAACTGACACTTTGGGTGGACATACAGTTTCTATTATGTACCTGTTTCCTTCATTAAAAAAAAAAAAAAATTTTTTTTTGAGATAAGCTTTTATATAGTCCAGGCAATCCTCCTGCTTCAGCTCCCAGTGTGCTGCTATAACTGCTGCTTATGCATCTTTATGAGGTGACCAAGCCATGCTAACAGCCTATGCTGAGGTCAGTAAGAAGACGCTGATGTCTAGAGTCCTCAACTCCATGTATCAAGTCATGGGGTCCAAAAAGAACAGCTTGGCTCCTAAGGGCTCCAGTTCATAAAGGGGGCATGTCTCTGCCTACTTTGTTGTGTTTTTAAAAACATTATTTTCTGTGTGAGTGTTTTGCCTGCATGTATGCATGCCATGTGCATGCAGTGCGCCCTGGGAGGCCAGAAGAAGAGTGTCAAATCTCCTAAAACTGGAGTTAGAGCTGGTTGGGAGTGGGTTATGTGCCATATTGGTGCTGGGAACTGAACCCACGTCCTCTGCAAAAGCAGCCAATGTGCTTAACCACTGAGCCATGTCACCAGCCTCAACCTCTGCCTATTTTGAGGACAAAGACATTTCTGTTAGTGACTTTTACAACTGGATTTCTTTGTGGAACTTGGGAAGAAGCTTTACCGGAAAAACGCCAACAGAGGCTGCCTGGGAAATGCACCATGGAAAGAGAGGAACTGAAGAGAGGGAACTAAACAAGAGCCAGAATGCCCTATTAGCCAAAACCTTCCAGTCCACAAGCCCATGTGCTCCTGGTTACACTGGGAACATTTGCAGATGTGTTCACTCTGCAAATACAGGAGACCTCTCAAAACCCAGTTAGGCAGAAGAGAAGCAGCCCAGAGATCTACAGGGTCAGTGGAAGGGACACACAGTCAGACTGCACAGTGGGGACAGGACGAGCAGAGGAGCTACTTACATGAGCAGGGAAGGGTTGGGGTCTTGTCCTGCCTTCTTCGGGGTGGCTGGCTCCTCCCACTGGTAGGTATGGTTTCTGACCTGATCCAGTCTCATACATGGACATGGGCCTACTGCCCCGGGCAGATGGCCGGCGCTTTAAGGAAGAGTGGCTGGAAGTGTCTGGGTAGTCAGAACCAGTCTGCGCCTGATAGGCATTGGTTGTGGCCTGTTTCCTGAGGCTTGAATTCTCAGTCTGTAGAGTTTGAAGCTGAAAGAAATGTTTGGCAGTGGGCCTGTGTTTTTGTACACTAGTCAGACAAAGCAAAGTCAAGGACACCAAGGCACCATGATCTGATGAGAGCCTGAAGCTAGCTGAGATGCGAGTGAAAGCGACGATGACAACTCCTTGTGCAATAACTCACTTTTTCCATCACACAGGCTCCTTAGAAACTCAAGTCTGACCACCTAAGAACTTGTCATGGTGGGACCAGAAAACACTGGCAGACAAGCTACACTCTGGATTACCCTAAGGCTATTTCAAGGAAGAGGTTCAGAACATTAACCATGATTCTTTTCATATGGCCCTTAGCAATTTGCAAATGGGAAAAGTGACATGAGACACCATGGAAGCAGCACAAAGACAACTAGCGTTGCTGTGTGAAGCAAGAAAGGGTGAGGTTCAGCCCAGGAAAAAGTCCAGTGTCTGCTGCTTTCCAAAAAGCCAACAAGAAAAATTTGGATCAAAAAAAATTTTATTGCATAGCACTTTTGATATTCCAAACAATTCAAGCATGTCTTTAAAAAAGTATAAGGGATCCAAACCACAGTAAGTTTGCTAACTTAATGTATCACAAAAAAAGTGCAAGCTACTGGACTATGTTAGCATCTTCACAGGAGGGGTGCTCCATGAGGTACACTTGCTTCTCTCTGCTGATCAGTCCTTTTCTGTCAGGGCTGGTGCATCTGGCCTTTCTCTCGTTTGGCTTTGACACCCAAAAACCATGCAGTCGGTGATGTTGGCTTTGGATAGGCTAGGCTGCCTGGTGCCACCTCACTCTGGTCAGACACTGTCACCCGAAGGTCCTGAACACCTGTTCCAATTTTCACACATGAGCTGCTTCAAGTCTGAGAGTTCAGCAAGGAATTGTGGGGCTGGCAACTTACACTGTACCCATTCTGCATCGGACCTTCACCTCTGATGGCACCTTCCATGTCACTGTATGGGCGGGGTGGGTGGGTGGTGGTATGAGTTCAACTGCCTGCTCTGACAGAATGTTCACTCTGACCACACTGCCCTCCAGCACCAAGGTTTTAAGTCTGTGAACAACCATCTCCTTACTTTCCAATAGCAAGCTCATGCTGTGCTGGGAGTTAACTCTCAATTTCTATTTAGAAAGCACCGATCTGTGGAAAATACACCAACAGTGGCCGGTCCTCTTCATTAATTAGCATCGTTTCCAAGCAACTGTTAAATGTGAAAGATCAGATATAAATCACACTACTTTGCCAACTCTACTGAAAACTTTAGTTTTGAAATGAAGTCAGTACTCCCTCTGCTATGTAAACAGACCCCAGGTCTCTGTATCAGTAGTGCCCACTTCTGCAGAAACATGGCTTCCTTGCCTATATGTGCAACCTCTTCAAAGACAGAACCTCTAGAAATTCCTGCATTCCAGGGTACAGACAAGTGTGAATGGCCTGTCAGGATTATCAATGGGGATTGGGTGGCCTCAGTGAAATGGCCATAGTCCAAAGACTGAGGCGTGTAAGCAGTTACATCCCTAAGCACAGGGCTCATGTGCCTGCCTATGCTGAAAGCCCGCTGAGGGTACTCCGAGCATGCTGAGAAATCAGACACTCCCTGAACACTGTGGCGGCCTCAGAAACATCCAGTCAGGATTTTGCCCAACTGTCTTCTGAGAGGAACACAAGTTCCTTGTTTCAAATGCCCCAGCCCCTTGCACAGGGAATTTAATCTGGGGCCTCAAGCACAGAGGCATGTGGTCTCTCAGAGCTTTGCCCCTGGCACACCATGCCCTGGAACTGAGACAGAGCACAAGTTACTCAGGCTGCCTCAAACCAGTTCTTAGTCCAAGAAGGGTTGAACTTATGATTGTTCTGTCTCCGTCTCCAAAGCGGCTGGGATTATAGGGACTGTGTCAAATTCAAAGAATTAATTACTCTGCTTTACAAAACAGATGCCTTAAGATAAATTTCAATGATGTTCAAAAGAACCAGGCTACGCTCTTTAGAAAAAATATGGCAGGAAAGAAAGCTACAGATAACTCAGTATCTTCAGAAATCAAAAGCATTTGTAAGAATCAAGGAGATAACCAATGAACAATGGCGCCGGTCAACATTTATTTGTGTGTATGAGTGTGCATCCAGGTGAGTGCCCACCAGTGCACGTGTTTAGAGGTTGGGAAGTTGGTTCTTTCCTTCTTCCATCGGGGTTTAGGGAACTGATCTCAGGTCATCAGGCTTGGTGGCACGTGTCTTACTCACTAAACCATCTCCCCAGTCCTTGCTCTACATTTCTTAGAAACTCAAGTTCCCTGCTTTCAGAGCTCTGGGTTGTCGCTAGCAACTAAAATAAAAACAGAAAATTACTGTGTATGCATATATATGGTGTCTGAGAGCGGTGCTTAGAGGACAACTATGGAGTCTTCTCCCACCTTTATGTGGGTGTCGGGACTCGAACTCAGGCTGTCAGGCCTCTATAGCAGGTTCCTGCGAAGCCATCTCACCAGCCAATTTTTAGTTTTATTACTTTTTTGCAAATGTGTGTGCGTGGGGAGACACTGGGCATTTTCTGCAATCATTCCTTCTCTCTCTTATGTATGGAGGCAAGATGTCTCACTGAGCCTGGGCTCGCTCCTTTGGCTAGTCTGGCTAGCAGCTTGCTCTGGAGACTCCCTGTGACTGTTTCTGGTGCTTGGGCACTGCAGGTGGACCACTGTGCCTACTCTGGTTTTTTACACAGGCTCTGGGAACTTCAATCCTCATCTTGTGTCACATAGATGGCCTCTATAAACATAAAAGGAGAACTATGCACAAAAAAGGCGATGCCTGGCAGACCAACTTAAAAACCCAAGTTTTAGGGAAAAAAAATCACCCAAGAAACTGATAAGGCTGTGACTGCACTGACTCCCAGTGTAGTATGGTTACACTGTGTATGTTTCCTTCCTCAGAGAAAGAAGAGAAAACAAAGTTCTCTGCTACAGCAAGGGGCTCTTGGCCTTGTGGTTGCAGCTGTGCATCAGCCTAGATGGGGCCGCAAGGCAGGATTGAGCTCTGATTCTAAGTGCTGAATGATCTGCAGGCGCTTGCTGTCATCCTCTGCAGTACAGCATTGGAGCCGCTGACTTCAAAGGCTCTTACAACCTTATTCCCTAGTGAGCAGGGGTGATTTTTCGGCCTTCCTTTAGGAGATGCACCTTGTGACCAGGACTTACAGTGTTTGAGTCTGAAACAGCATTCCTCAACAACAGCATAAGAACACAAACCAGTCTCTGTTTTGTTCCTCCTGGGGTACGTAAAAAGTCTCTCAAGAGCTCAGTGATGAGTGCAGTGTCCACAAAGTAGGGGCACTACTTGTTGCTTTCCATTTCCCGCTCTCATCCATCTGCATCCCCTAAGCACACACCTTCCTCCTGCTGCCCACTCCTGCAGGTGAGTTCACTCATGCAGTCCTGAGTCTCTGGAGCAGAGGCTCTCAACCTTCCTAATTCTGCACCCTTTAATACAATTCCTCATGTCATGGTGACCTCAACCATAACATTATTTATTTCATTGTTACTTCATAACTGTAGTTCTGCCACTGTTACGAATCATAATGTAAATATCGGTGTTTTCCAATGGTCTTGCGCGACCCCTGTGAAAGGGTCGTTCGACCCCACCACCCAAAAAGGTTGAGAACCGCTGTTCTAGGAGAATGGCTAGGAATGTGCTGAACACATGGGTTGGATCTCCTTGCTAGCCCAGGTGGAATGTGTGGGAAGTCTGCTGTGTGTCCATTCCTGCTCTGAGTGATGAGTCTTAGTGACAGTAAGTTGAGATGCTGGAGAGGGTTGCCAGGTAGCAGTCAAAGTAAGTGCTAGGACCTACATGCTGATAAGCATGTTCTTTTGCCTGCTCTGTCTACATGGTGTGATTCATCTTAGAATCAGTAATGGGGGAGGGGGTACAGGGATCACATCCAAGTAGTGGTTTCCAGATTCCCAGGAATCCTAGGATAGGAGAAAGCTATGCTGTTTCACACAAACACTAGGCTCTTAGGGCTCTCCTAGTTGAGAATTTACTCTGAATGCATTTTTAAATGCAAACCCAAAGCCTTGTGCTCATATAGCATACACTGAACTATATCCCCAGCCAAACAGAAAAACAGCCCAGGACCTTTTGTGTGCTAGGGAGATGCACTATCACTGAGCTACAGTCCCTAGTCCTACTCCGGATGCATTTCTAATCAAAGTACGTCATTTCAAACACCCACACACATCCTGCTTTCAGGAGGATAGCTTGGCCCCAGTATTTCTAGGTCTGTTACAGTAGATGTTTTTCTTCCCTCTGACCACAAGCATGGTGACTGGGATTCTCCCTTCTACTATGGGATCAATGAGTCAGCCATCCTGGCATTTATTAACATGTTACCTTTTTCTGCATAATTCTCAGCTCGTCACTCAAGTTGTTATTCACCTTCATTAGCTGCTGTATCTTGGCCTCAGAAGCCACTAGGGCGCTTTTGACCTCCATAAATTCCTGCACAGTGACTGGTCCATCTGACAAATCTGAATCTAGGCTCTAAAAATAAATCGGGAAAATGTTCACAATCCGAGATGATGATGTTAAAGACTAACAGCTAAAGAGTTTCCACCTCTGGCCATGCCAGCTGAATTGCAAAATTAAACCAAATGAAAAGCAGGGCACTACTGTACTTCTGCATATCTGAAGCCAGAAGTTCCTACAGGAGCAGGCAGGGGGCTGCAGACCTATATGGACACTGTCTGTCTAAAGTCTGTTCTGACTTGCATACATTTTCCTTGCTAATTCAAAAAACTTCTTCTTTCATTGGTTCATTCATTCCACACTACTTATTGAGCAACAGGCAATTTCCAGGAGGATATATCTGAGGAGAGAACAAAGATTGCTGCTTCCATGGTGTTTACATCCCAGCAGCACTAGAGAGGGAGTAACTGACCTGACGTGTGGCACACAGTAGGACGGTGACTAGTGATGGGAAACATACACTGGAGCAGGGTGGGCTGCAAAAGCTGCATGGGTGGAGCTGGGGTGAGCTCTGAATAGTGCCTGAGGAGCTGAGGCAATCAGTTAGAATGTGTATGGAGAAGGTTCTGATCTGGGGGAGAGCTCAGCTAGCGACTGAAGGGAACATGGGAACCTAGTCAGTCAGTGCAAGGTCTATCCCTGATACTTGGCATTCACTGAGTGGACTCCACCCGGGCAGCCCAGGCAGCGGTGTTGCTTCTGCCAACGTAAATAGCAAATGCTGGCCATATCTCTAAGTCCATCCCCCTGCTTCAAGCCTCCAGACCTTTCTAGCACAGCTTCTTGTTTATCACTCTTAGTGCCTGTGGAGTGCCTCTCTGGCTCAGTCCTGGGAATTCAGCCCTCAGTGGAATGGAGCATTCCAGACCCTTTGACCCTGTCACCTGTTCACAGTTTCTGTCACTGGGGCCCTGTGGCCCAAACCCCGAGGCAGCTCTGCACTGCCCTCTAGGCTTCAGTTCGTCACTGTAGTGTCATGAACCTCATGGTGTGTGTGGCTCTTTCAGGCTGTTCCTACTCATGAGCAGACTTGTCCTGAGACCCTGGTGGTTCCTTCTCTCTGCTCAGACTTTTCACCATCTGCTCAGGCCTCAGTCCCACACATCCTGTAAGGCCTTGTCTAACAACCTCCTCCCTTAATGTTCCAGAGTGTGACGTTCTCTCTTCCCACCCCCTAGCTCATCTGTACTTTATGACGCACACCGCCTGTACAGTGTACCCTTTACTGTCCCTGTCCCTCTTCCTCATCAGTGACATCTTCAGGGAAAAGGAGTTGAGCCTCACTGGGAAGATGCACACAGAGAAGCCACAGAGTGCATAAAGCCTCTGGTCACGGCTCACATAATGAGTCCTGACGTCAGCGTGGCTGACCCTCACTTGCTCGGGACAAAGGGCCTTATCTTAAGAGCACTTATTTTTTTTAGCTTTGCTTGGCCTGAGGCAGCAGGACCCAACTTCACCCACTTCCCAACACCTTCGAAGGGCTAACCCTTGCAATTTTGCATGCATGTTTCATTTTTTGGCACAATTGTGTGTGCTTTTCAAATGGTGCTGGGACCTGAACTCGGGCTGTACGTGTTCAGCACACATTCCGCCATTCAGCTACAACCCCAGCACGAGAACAAGTTTTAAATAAAACATGTCTGTCCTGTGTGAGGTGTGTCCTCTCACCTTCTGCCGGCTTGCCTTGCTTGCTCTGGTTTCCACATCTGTGTCCTCGTCTGAGGCCACGCTGTCATAGTCTGGCTGGTCGTTGTCCTGGCTCTCAGTGCTGTGCTGGCTACTGACTGTTCTCAATATGAGTTCCACATTGTCTGTTCACAGAAGAAGAAGAACTATTTCACACTTAAAATACAGGTTTCCTTCTGAAAAACTATTAGGATGAGTTTCTGGTTTAGCCATTTAAAAGCTGGCTGAAAGAAAATGGCAGAAATAGTAATGGTATATTCACACCCATAGATGGCTAAGAGAAAATGGGAGCATAACGGACAGCTCCACAGAGAAGCTAAGTGTTCTTCATTCAGCTGCCAAGCCTGGAGAAGCTCCCTGAGCTGCCAGACTGAGGCGGTAAGTCTTGGGTTCTGCACACATGGGGCACTGCTTCACAGCATAAACACACAAAGGGAAGCGAGGCACCTGCACTGTGACATGCTTAATAGGGGAATGGCAAGGTAAACAGAAAGCAGCCGGCATGGTGACACTTGTCTTTAATCCCAGCATCAGGGAGGAAGAGGCAGGCCATCTCTATAGTTTCAAGGCCAGCCTCATCTACATACAGAGTTCTAGGACAGCCCAGGCTACATAGAGAGAGACCATGCCTCAAAAACAAACAAAACCCCAGAGAGCATATAGCTTAGAAACCAGGTGCAAAGAGTATGAACAGCAGCAGCCAGTCACCTGAATCCAGATTAGAAGACAGACAAGAGGAGACAGGTTTAGTGAACACACACGTGTACATTATCAGTAGCCTCCGTTCCATAGATGGGGAGCAGTAAGCATTTATAAACCTCCAAAGACACTTGGTTTATTTGGGGAAACTCAAATAACTCCAGTTCTCAATGCTGTCTCACAGATAGCTTCATCTGGACAGTGAATTCTAATTTCTTAAGAAATGTACTGGTCCTATTTTAGCCTTTCCCCCCCCCCCCCCGCCCCGACAGGGTTTCTTTGTATGGCCTTCGCCTTAATTCTGTAGGCCAAACTGGCCTTGAACTCAGAGAGTCACCTGCCTCTGCCTCACCGAGTGCTCGTATTACCGGCCTGTGCCACAATGCCAGGCTCTATTTTAACTTTTAAAACAAAGCTTTAAAATACACCATCATTCCAATACAGACGTAAATAGATGGCATACAGTGTGGACACTAATGAGGCCACCAGCACTCCTAGTCATGCCAGGAAGATGCTCATCAAACACACACCTTCCCCACTGAACTGGGAGTTTGTTTTTTTGTTTGTTTGTTTGTTTTTTTTGTTTTTAAGGCAGTGCAATCACAAACAAAATATACGAATGGGCAAATGTGGTATTAAGTAGTCTATGAAAGGTCACGTATACAGCATGAAAACTGAAGCACAGGTGCAGGAAGGTACTAGCATCAACCTCAGCCAGGAATGTGCTCTGGGCAATGCCAAATCTGCTGGTGGGGAGCACTTCCATGCAGGCATCATGTGTGTCAGCTATAGACACCTGTACAGTTATCTCTACCAATATACTCACCTTTCAAAATGGAGACTGCACCAAGCCTTTAAAAGCTGTATTACTCTACTTCACATCACTAAGTATTTCTGGAAGATGTCTTTGTACTACTCATGTGACTGTTTCTCTAGAATTTATGATTTGGGTGTTTCTAATGTTTTTGATATCATACACAACATGGAACATCTGGTCATTTCTCTTATGCAAAGATTTTCCAAACTGCACCTTTATCAATTTAATACACCTTTCCAGACCATGTTTGCTGAATTAATAGAATCAAATTTCTTAACTAGCAAGAGGAAACACAAATTATTATTAGTTAATGATTTCTGTCTTTGAAGTATGTGATATTGACTAGAACCTTAATTTTTATGGCACAAATATTTTGTGCAGGTGCCTCAAAATAAAAAGGCATAGTTCCTGTATATAAAAAAACAAGAACAAAGTTACGGGCTGGCTATAAGGGAAGTGGGTTCCTAGGTCTGGACTGTCCAAGCCACTCTGAAAAGAATGCTCAGCGAGCTTTACACTTCTCATCATAGTGCTTCCTGCTACAGACATTTAAAGTTCACACAGTAAATTCTGATTATTAGAGGCAGAGGGGTTCTGGAAGTGAGTGACAGCAGGGGAAACATAACTGTAATCAGGAGCCTTCATTTCCATTTCCTTATTTATGTCCTTTGTCAAATTTAAGTTAGGCTTTTAGGTTTATTTTAAGGTGCCAATTTTATGGAAGAAAATCACATATAAGATAAATCTGAATAGTACTTAATATTTTTGAAGTACTCCTTATTCATCAGGGCTCCAACAGGTACCTCTCTGTCATGATAGATCAGCAAAGAAACGCTCAGCACACGGTCTTTTTACAACCGCCCCATCACCTCCAGCTCTGGACTGAACACCTGACTTTGAAGGCCCCAGGCACATTAGAGCTGGACACTTGCCTTTTGACCTGGAGAGAGAACTGCCCTGTTGTCTCCTCTTGGCGTCACTGAGGATATCGATGACTAGTGTAGCAAATTCATGGGCGTTAAACCGAGCTAATTTCTGTCTGCCCTATGGTGAGGAAAAATGGGAAATATTTTCCAATGTAAACATCTAAGCATGAATAGTGACAGCAAACGTCCAAGACTGTCAGACTTATTCAAGGTCTCCCATCTCACTCACACTAACTCACTCACCATTATTCCCTAACTAACACTAATATTTCCTGTGGCAGCAGCTTCAAGCCACTTCAGAGAACTTAAGAGTTACGTTTTCACAACACATATTTGCTGTTATGAATGAACTGGCTGGATATGTAGCTCACTGACAGAACACTTGACAAGCATGTATGAGACCCAGGGTTCAATCCTCAGAGTCGCCAGTATATAAAAACGTAGTCTTATTATCAACAACTTAATTCTGAAGTAAGTGAGAGTTAATCTGGAGGGAAATTCCAAACTTAAAGATGAGGTTACAGACTGGATGTGGCTCCATTCTTAGGGACTTCTATCAGTTAGACTAAACCCTCTCCACATCCCCTCCTTTACTGGCCAAGATCATGTGTATAGATCCGCCTGCCTCCTGAGTGCTGGGATTAAAGGTGTGAACCATCACACCAAGCTTGGAAATATTCTTAAATGAGGATTTACTTAAATTTGAGGGTTCTGATGAACTAGAAAACAATTTCCCTCCCCCCTGCTCTCCTTTCCCCATCTCTGTCATAGTCTTGCTATGTAGCCCAGGCTGGCTTCCAACTTGAGGTCCTCCTGCCCCAGCTTCCTGAGCACTGGGTTCACACAAGAAGCCAGCAACCCGTCCAGTCTTGTCAGCAGCATGAGCATGCACCCTACTCCACTGTCAGCCTGGAGTGTCCTTTCCTATCTTCTACCATTTTCTTTCACATTTGTATACTGTTCCCATTTTTCTGTTCATATATGCTCCTTGTCTGTTTACATGTATACAGGATACTAAATATCATGACATTAGTCATTCCCCCAATATTAAAATTAGTAACTTTTCACCCCAAGCCACTTGCCTGGTTTCGTGTTGAGGAGTACTCAGGGTTGACCGGTAGAAAGGGAACGACGGTTGTCTCGGTTACCAGGGTGCTGTGGTTTTGCGTGGCAAGCCAGACTAGCCAGAGGAAAAGAGCCAGAGATAGAATCTCATCACACCTGCGGTGCCAAGGCTCCGCTGGGAGGCATGGTTCACGCACTGTGAGGGAGACTTGGGGAAGCACACTCGGAAGCCAACACTCGCAAAAGTACATGTCAACACACAGGTTATGAGGACAGTAGCAACTGGACAAGAAAAACAGAGGCCGGCAGCTGGGCACCGCCCACTGAGAGCAGAAGCTTAGTAGATAGGCTGCGTGTTACGTCACCTGCATCAGTCTCTCGCCTGTCAACTTCATCATACACATCCATGGCAAGTTCTTCAAACAAATGATTATTTAGCTGAAAGCAAAAATATCAGGGACACAAGGGACAACAATTAACACCAGTAGAACACCTGTCACATAGTCACCCTTTATCTCCAACGTCTTACTCAAAGCCAGTACCTAGCGAGTGCCCACCACTAGGCACTACAGACACTGCAACCATTTCCAGATGGTGCAGGTCCTGCTCTACAACAGACAGGCCACTGCCTCAGTGGAGACACTAACCAGAGCCCTCTCAGAGACAGGCTTTCACTCTGCTGCACTGTGAGCCAGCATCCTGCAGGTTTCTGCTCTCCAGAGAACTTTTGTCCGCTCTACAAAAGGAAGGGATCCCAAATCCCTCACAGGATAAAGAAGTGAAAACCCTTGGGTAGGGATGGCAATGACACTCAGTGGCAGAATGTCTGCCCATGCTGTGCAAGGCCCTGGATTGGATGCTGTTGGGAGTAGATGAAAACACTTTTCAGCAAGGCTTCTTTGCTGGCTTCCTACCAAGCAAAGCACAATGTGGCTCCCCAGTGCACTTGGGGTACAGCTCACATCACAATCGCACAGACCACGGCCCTCACAGCAGCCAAAAACTTAGGGGGAGGACCATCAAGGTCTCCCCACTCGACAAGCTGAAGCCCCAGCATGGCTCTTGTCTCGAGACTCACCCTGAAACTCTAGCAGCCGTGACTTCTTTACTGACTGCCTTGTGCCCTGTGAGGACAGACACTGAATCTGTCACACTGGCCACTCTGTTCTGATGTCCACACATAATACCTGGCATTAGGAGGGACATCCACTTGGATGAACCTGGAGATCTTTAGTCAACAATTTAAAACACTGCCTTCAGAGCCCTCAGATGAACACAGGAAATGCCTATGATACCCGCTGGGTAAAAAAAAAGCAGGGTATGAAATTCTGTTACTACAATCTCCAGAAAGGAAAAAAAAAAAAAAAAAAAAAAAAAAAAGATACAAATAGGAAATAAAAACTGAAAGACATATGCCAAAATGCTGAGCTTGAGCTCACGAAGAGTAAGGTGACTGAGGACAACTCCATGTCTTTTCAGTTTTTCTAGAACACTCACATTACACTTATTGTTCAAAACAAACCTCATGAGAATATTGCCAGAGAAGATGAGGAAGTCTCAGAGCTCAAACATTCTTGAGAATCATCCAGTTTCTACATGCAAGGGTTTGGATGGCAAGTTTTTTTGTTACTAATGGCCACATGGCCCACACTGCTGAGGTCTTGCATCTTAGACATGGTGCTAACAGTACAGTTCAACTCCATCAACAAGGACAGAATTTACTATTGTCTCATAGACAAGGAATTTTAGAAACAGAAGTATCAAAAATTAAGTTAATAATATGAAATGTATTACTTATAACATATAAATACAATAAAATATTATTAAATATAACAAAAACACTGGTTTTGTTAAATTCCCTCAGTTTTTCACTAGGGAGGGAGGAGAGAGTATGAGACAGACAATTAGGGAGGGAGGGAAAGAATGAAAAAAGTGACGAGAAAGAGAAGGAAGAAGGAAGGTAGTGAGGGATGAAGGCTACCTTGGCACTGGTAAGAGCAGCCACCTCTGAGAAGGAGACTCTGGGATACCCAACAGAGCAGAGACAGTGCCTTTTCCCCAGCACTTGTTGGAGGGAAGGCTCTGTGCTTGCAGGGCATGAGGGTGAGCTGGGCAAGCCTGTCACACAGTCTAAGGTCTTGAGAGCATATTAAACTCTGCCCAAGTTATTTACTTAATGCCCACCCTATGTTAGGTATTACAGATATTAACCTCAGGTTTCATGTGGCATCCAGCCCAGCCAACACACAGAGTAAGTTGGAATCTGTCGACAGATGTATAAGAAAAGTTTGCTTACAGACCACCAGTAACTACAAGGAAAGCACACTCTCGTGCTGCCTTGAAAGCTTGACATCTTATTTATCTTACTTCATGGCCTCCTTAACTAAGAGCAGTAACACACAAACATACAAACTGTATACAGAACACAGAGACACCAGACAAATTGCATAAAACACATTTATTTCACAGTACAATTAAATACTAGTGAGGATAAATTTATTATATGTGGTACTTTGTGATGCTGTATGAGGTTCTAAAAGGGTCTCTGTGAAGAGGGGAAGGTGGAAAATCACCAAGCAGGGAAGTTGGGCTTTACCTAAACTACAGAGGAGCTCAAGGAGTGGGAATCAGGCAAGACAAACCTGCAGGAGAGAGTCCTGGAGAAGGGCTGAAAGGCAGATACTTTTGGCTTCAGAGAGCTAGCTAATTCACAGAGTCACCCCAACAATGCATGTACCATAATCAGATGGGAAGTGAGACAGTACTGAAGGGTCCTTAATGGTGACAAAAAGAAGCAAAGGCTCGGGGCTCTGATCTGGGAGCATTGAGAATGGGTAAAGAGGGAAATCTCACAAGGTAACCCAGAAGCACCTGTGAGGGTTCCTGGGAAAGATGACAGAATTTGGAAGTTACTCTCCCAGGGCCTCTTGAAAATGCAGGCAAAGATTAGTGTGAGCTTTTGACCCACAGGTCTGGGAAAACACTGAAAACACACATGGGTCCAGACCATCAGCTTTCAGAAGCATAAATTTTAAAAGCTCTCTGAGGATGATATATGATGGGCAAGAGAGTTACACCACTCCAGCGGATGAAGGTAGACTTACTGGCCTGCCAGCATCAGCGATTATTATTTCTTAGTATCCCATTACTAATGTAAGAAATCCCAAGGAAGGAGCCCCACACTCACTCCAGTACCCTGAGAGATATCCAGAACTTTGGCTGAAAACAATTCTCTACTATCATAGGTAAGGGGTGCATTTTTAACACAATGGAGAACACGGGTCGTCTGAATAGTCAGCGGTTGTACTAAAGTCATCTGGTGCAACAGATAACTCAGACTGACAACAGGGGCCATCAGGGTTTCCATACCGGGGTTCACCAGAAAGAGATACTCACAGATTGAAGTTTCTTCTTGGCAGCTTTTGCCAACTCAGACAAATCCAGGCTGCTAAGAAAATGCACAAAATGATTAAGCAAGTAAATAGAAGCATGCTGTGAACTCTCTAGAAGATTAAGAGGATTAAGATTAAGACACCCAAGGCATGAAATATTACGGTTTATGCAAACATTTGAACCAAGCATTCTGTAGCCAAAGAGTCACGGAAGAGACTGAAACAATTTTTCCAGTGATTCGTAAAAACCCAGTAGTCAGGGAATGTGCTAAAGAGAAAACATTGCCCTGCAACTGAGAAAAGCTACTGTTCATCTCTAGGCTTTGGGGTGCGGTGTAGGGGTAAAGTGTTTGTCTAATGTGTGAGCTGCTGAGTTCCATCTGTAGCACAAAAGAAAAAGGGCAAGATAAAAAGAAAAAATGACAAGGGAAACTGAAAAAGCAGAAAGACAAGCTCACTACTGGAATGGCAGTAAGACATTTTGTGGACTCTGGCAGCACTGGATCAACAGGGCTTCATGCAATAGTCACCTCACCCGATAGGCTGGGGGTAGCAAGTTAGGACTTTTCTACTCAGCTCATGAACTAAAGATGCCTTTTATGTTTTTAAACACTTTGGATATAGAGAAGGAAAATGAACATCCATTTCTCAAGATCTAAAGGTTCAAGTTCCAGCATCCAGCCCATTATCTTAAGAGCCCACTGACACTCTGAGCAGCTGTGACTGGCTCACAGCTCATAAAGCTTAACTTATTTCCTATCCAGGTTGTGACAACAAAGTTTGCCAACCCCTATTATAGGCAAAGAATACAATCTCTTCTGGCACAGAAATAGCTGTGAATATAACCTATAGGCTCAAGATGCCAGGTCAGCTGGCCAAAGCAGTGAGTGGCAGCCTCACTGGCTACAAGTCCTTATCTGTGTATTTGTTATCTGTGCTCATTCCAAGTTTAAGTTTCACATGGTGGTTTACTTACAGCCGCCTTATTTCCAAAGTGTATAGCCATAAAAGAGAAAAATGTATGGGCTCTGTTAAACACAAAATAGAATACACTTAAATACTGTAAACCAAGGCAATGCTTGGCCGATAAACTAGACTGGTCCTTACCTGTCTGCCATTTGAGGGATTATAAAGTGCTGTCCGTTTTTGTGATCTGAAAAAGAAACCAAAGTTTTGCTCATATCAATATTGAGATATATATAAAGGAGTACCACCATTTTTTGTTTGTTTGTTTGTTTATTTATTTAAGTTTTCCAATTGGCCATTTTACCCCAGTAGCACCTGGGGGAACAGAAGTTCTGAGACTGGCTCTAAGTTCCCTGAATTCTGTCCAGGGCCAGACATGAGCAGAAAACCTATAACCTATTGCTCATTCCAGAATAACTGAGAGAAGAATGCTGAGGGAGCTGGGTCAGCCCACGGCAGCAGATGGCAGAGCTGTACTAAATAAGCCTGGGAGAGGTTCAATTCCACAATTAGCAGAAAACAGCCAGGGCTAGAGCAGGTGTGCTTTGCATGTAGCTTTGGAGGGACTCCACCTTGCCATCTGCTGAGTGACTCTGTCCTCACCTAGCTTCTAGAACACGGATTTTCATTCCAATGAATGATACCAGCATAAGCATTTATGCAGGTTTTTGTGTACACTCAGTTTACCCTCCTAGGTAATGCCTCAGAGTGGGAGCACACTTAAACGTATGTCTTGCTGGTAAGAAGCTGCTATTTCTTTACTAGCTCTGTTGTTGTATACTCTGAACAAGTAGAGTGTGGTAGCACATGCCAGCAACCACAGCACAAGTGAAGCTGAGGCAGAGGGACCGAGCTACACAGCAAGAGCCTGCCTCCCCAAACACACACTAAAACACCAGATGCCCCCCCGCCCCCACTGTTACTTCACAGCAGTGTGTGCGATGCTTGGTTACTCTTGTCTTCCCCAGACTATACTCCTGGTTGCAGGCCAGCTTCACATGGGTTTTCATTGTGTCTCTGTAATGGCTAATGATGCTGAATGAAATGTGCTTGGTTTCTGTTGCTGTTGTTTGTTTGTTTGTTTGTTTTTTTTTTGCCATCTATATACCATCTTCAGGCTTTGTTTTTTCTTTTTCATTTTTTTGAGATGGTCTTGAATTCCAGGGCATAGGAAATGGCCCGCAGCTTGGGGAGATGACTCAGTAGGCAAAACCTCCAGCTGCTGTGGTGGCAAACACCTGTATCTCAGTACTCCGGCAGGGAGATGGGAGGTGGAGACAGGAGAACTGCCTGTCACTGGCCAGCTATGCTGGTGTACAGTGTACAGACAAGAAAGGCTCAAGCACAACACAGCGGAAAGAGAAAACTGACTTCAGAATTATCGGCCCACACACACTTGCACACCCACAACGGCCCAGTATTGCATGCCTATCCCAGCCCTTAGGAGGATGATCAAAGTTCAAGGTCATCCTTAATCACAGCAAATTAGAGACTAGCCTAGGTTACATGAGATCCTGTTTCATTTCTTTTTCTTAAAAAAAATTTTTTTATGTGTATGCATGCTTTCCCTGCATGCATGTCTGCACAGCACATGTGAGCCCTGTGCCCACAAAGGCAAAAAAAGCAATGGATCTCTTGGAACTGGAGTTGTAGGCAGTTATGAGCCAACATGTGGGTGCTAGGAACAGAATCTATGTCCTCTGAAGGATCAGCAAATGCTCCAGACTTGCTGAGCCATCCCTCCACACCACCTCTGCCCTGTTTCAAACAGGGTTTCTCTACGTAGCCCTGGCTGCACTGGAACTCAGAAAGCCTCCTGCGTCTGCCTCTGTGATTAAAGGTGTGCACCACCACACTGTCAAGAACCTGTTTTCAAAAAAATGAAAAAGAAATGGCCTTTCCTCAGCCTCCCACTGTTGTGGGTCTATTGTACCCAGCACTGCCCAGGTTGAGTTTTAAAACATTCTCAATGCACATGCTACATTGAAAATGTGATTTCCAAATACTTTCAGTTCTGGCTTCTCTTTTCACTCTTGTGAGTTCTTTAGAGCAGGAGCTTTGGGTTTTGAAGCTGGGCCTGATGCTGTACACCTCCAGCCCTAGACTGGAGTGGCTGAGTGAAAAGGACTGCATGAGTTTGATGTCAGGCAAGGATAGGATAGAGTGAGAGCAGCTCAAATAAACAAAGTGAAAGAGCAAATGAGAGACAGCACGTGACAGCTTCATCCAAGATCACAGAAGTCTGTCCTTAGTTTACAGCTGTAGGTTTTCTAAGTACATCTATGACCTAGATTATCTTGTATAAAGTTTTGGAGGATGTTCATTTTCCTGCACGTGGAATGCAGTTGTTCCTACATTCTACATGCATTCGCACTAAATACATAAAGGAAATATGATCCGGGCTGTCCATTTTGTTCTGAATCTTCCTATACTCTTAGGAATTTTTCCATAGATTCCTTAGGACTTTCCATACAGAAATTATCTCGTCCGCATGAAAAGTTTTATTTCTTCCCTTTTTCAATCTTTCTGTCTTTTCTTTCTCTTGCCTCTTGGTGGGGAGCAGGGTTTCTGGGATGGCGCTGAGCACGGGTGGTGAGAACAGACACTAGCCTCAGGAGAGCAGCACCTGTTCTTGTCATTAAAGAAGACGATCTTGGTTTTCTGGGGCAGCCGGCATCCAGCTAAGCAAGCCCCATCTGTTTTGAGTTTGCTATTTTTTTTTCTCAATTATGAATGGATGTTGAATTTGGTCAAATGCCTTTTTTATACCAACTAATAACTGCATAATTTCTGCCTTTTAGTTTATTAATGCCCTGACCTACATTAACTGATTTTCTTCTTTCTTTCTTTTTTTTTTAAGATTTAAAATTTTATACGTATGAATGTTTTTACCTGTGAGTATGTATGGGTACCATATGTGTACTGGGTGCCCAAGGTCAGAAGACAGGGCCAGATCACCTGAAACTGGGATTACAGATGGTTGTGAGCCAAACTGTGGGTGCTGGGAACTGAACCTGGGTTCTCTGAAGGAGCAGCAGGTGCTGTTAACACTTAGCCATCTGTCCAGTAACACTACCTGACTTCCACTTATGTATGATTGGTTATGTTGAAAATTTTTTAACCTATAGTGCTGGATTTATCATTTGCTGAGAATTTTTGTTTCTGCTCATTGGGACGCCCCCTAGACCCTCCCTTTCTTTTTTTTTTTTTTTCTTTTTGCTAGGTTTGGTATCCCACTAACCCACTGAACATGGATTGAGACGTATTCTCTGTCTTATTTTCTTTCCTTAAGAGATTTTTATTGTGTGTGTCAGTCTTTCACTTACACACATCTGTGCACCATTTATGTGCCTGGTGCCCATGGAGGTCAGAAGAGGAGGTGGACTTCTCTGAGTTATATGTGGCTGCGAGCTGCCAAGTGGGTGCTGGCAAAGAACCCAGATCCTCTGAAAGAGCAGCCAGTGCTCTTAACCACCAGCCATCTCCCCAGCCCTCTCTTCCTCTTGTTTTTCAAATTTATTTCACGTGCACTGATGTTTTGCTGGCATGTATGTCTGTGTGAGGGTGTCGGATCCCCTAGAGGTGGGGTACAGACAACCGTAATCTGCCAAGGTGAGCACTGGGTCCTCTGGAAGAACAGCCAGTGCTCTTAACTGCTGAGCCATTTCTCCAGCCTTTCTTCCTATTTTTTGAACCTGACATTTTCTTTAATGAGATGTGTTGAGGTACAAATACAAAATCCTGAAAAATACAGTTTTGTAGTCCTGGGAACTCAGCCCAGTGTTTTGCCTAGCACATATGAAGCCTGATGCTCTGGGTTTGGTTCCCAGCACTGCAAAAAGAGGTTGGAAATGAACCATGTGTAAGAACATACATATAAAATCATATATTTATATTTTCCCTTTTCTTGGGTGGGTTTTGGTAGCTTGTACCTTTTAGAGGGTTAGTATATTTTATCTAAGCTGTCATATCTATGCGCATAGTTGCATCATGTTCCTACGGTTGTTTCTAGTGCTTAGTGGTCAAGCCCAGAGCCTTGTACACACATGCTAGAACCATGCCACTGAGTCACAGCTGCAGGCCCTACTTCTCAGCAGCCGTTAGCTGTCTGGTGCTATGAAGATCCTCCTTGTGCAGTCCTTCTCTCAGCAGCATGAATACCCCTCTTGATCTCTCCATTCTTGATCTCCATGAAGAATCAGCCACAATAATATTACTTCTCCTGGTTTTTCAGTTTAACTGTCCCTGTGCTGGCTTGTTCATCCTCACCTCTAGATCCTTTGTAGGGAAGACTGACTTGAGAGCTACTTTCTTTTGATAACCAAGTATTTAATGCTATGAAACTTTCTGTAAACTTTGTGCTTGGTATACTCTACAAACAGTCTCTTTCTTCCTTCAACTTTTCTGCTTTTGAGACAGACTAGACTGGCTTTGAATTCACAGGTATCCCAAGTGCTGAGATTTTTGATGGTGTGTACTGCCAGGCCCAGCTAATCCTACAAATTTTGATACTGTATTCTCATTTTCATTTAGATAGAAATGCTTTTGAACCAGGTATGGTAGTACATACCTGTCATTCCAGCACTTGAGAAGCTGAGGAAGGACTGTTGAGTTTGAGGTTATCCTGGGCTACAACATGCTATTGTATCAAAACAACTATCTAAACCCATATAGTTAATATGTACACACTAATTTCCCTTAAGATTTTCTTTGCGATGACTTAAAAATGTGTTGCTCAACTTCCAAGTGCTTGAATATTTTCATTTTTATAAGTTTCTAGCTTAATCCCATTATGGTCAGAGAATAAACTTTGTAGAAGTTTAAATTCTTTAGGGTTGCTAAGGTTTATCACCCAGAATATGGCTTACCTTGCTAAAGATGAATTAAAAAAAGCTGTGTGTGGAGTGTGCAGTAAGAACTTTGGCTCTGACCTTTCCTTTAGTTGCACTGGGTTCATTTACTTTGTTCATATGTATATGTGGGCGCACATATCCAAAGCATGCATGTGCCAGTCAGGGGATTTTCTCCAGGAGTCAGTTCTCTCCTTCCACTAGGTAGGTCCTAGGGCTGGAACTCAGTCTGTCAGATGCCTCCACCTCCTGAGCCACCCTGACGGCTCTCCTTTGGTATGAACACTTGGCTTTATGTGATCTGGAGTGCTGCTGCTGGCTAGGCACACATTTAGGCTTACATCTTCTTGCTGTAAGCCAGACACTATGTCATTGTCTCATGCTCCTCTCTATCTTTGCTTCTTCTCTTTGCTCTGAGGTCTATGATCCATGCAGATAACATGGGGTTCATTCAGAGTGGTGAGCCACAGATATAGCCTGATGTCAGCACAGCTATGCTAGCCTCAATGATTGCATGAATAAATTATTTTACACCTTTTGATGCTCATCTAGTCATGGCATTGAAGCTGGTTTCTTGTACAATATATATTCAGCTTTTGTTCTGTAACCCTTTCCTGGCAAGTATGGTTGTGTTTGGATTTATGTCATTTTATTACTTATTTCCTTTTTGAGCTTCAGGTTTTTCCTTTTTCTTTCTCTTTAAAAATCTTTCAATTATTTGAGTGTGTAACATTTTTTTTCCTTAATTTATCTCTAGGCTTTTTGATCATATATCTTTGTCTTTTTCTTCTAAGTGGTTGAGCTAAGGGCTACACTACCCATATGTAGCAGGTTTGGTTATGCTATGTAAATGTTTTTGTTGTAATCCCAAGTGTGGGATGCAGGAATCTACCTGATAACAGCCTCATGAAAGGTGTTGATCTTTGTCAGCTAATAAACAGCCTCCTGAGAAGGTGTATGACCGTTGTTAGCTGGAAATTGCCTGTGCAGGGGTTGTGGTTTTTGCCAACTGAAAAACATCCTGATTCGGACTCTGAGAAGGTATAAATAGGAGCTCAGAAGGAGAGAGGGGTCATCTCACTTGGAGAGCATCTAGAAAGAAACGCTTTGGCGAACACTTCAAGGAGGTTGCTGCTGCCCCTGATGCCGCCGCCGCCGCCACCGCTACTGGTCCTTGTTGCTGCTTTTGCTAATGCTCTATTTGCTAATGCCCTCTTGCTGATTCCTTCTGCTGCGCATTTGCACTGCTGCTGGTTTGCTGATGTGATCTGCTGCTCTGTTTGCTACTGCTGCTGCTGCTGATTTGTGAGTTTGCTGGTCTGCTGGTTGTCCTGATGACAAAGAGTGGAACTGCCCTAAGGAACTATGTCTAATGAGGTCTACATCCTTGTCCCTACTAACCTTCTTTCTCTCCTTAGGGTTGGGGGACTGGAAGGGAGATAGGCTTAAGGAATCCCAAATAAGGTAGATTAAAAAAAAAAATCAAAGCCGACACCCATATTTTTTAATCTACTTAGAAACATTACCATCTCACTTCAAGCAGAATGTAGGAATCCTATGGTGTTTCATTCACCCTTTCTCATTCCTGAGAATGAGCTATTAACTGCCATGAACATCTGCAGCTCGAGCTGCTCTACTTCCAAGCACTTCTTCACTGAGGCTGCTCTTTAGCCCAACATTCTTCAATGTCCTTAGGCCCACGTTGACCTGAAGATCCTTCTCTAGCCCTGCTGTTAGAGCAAAGAAGTCTCTTGTTTTCACTCATCTGAGTTTAATTTGCCCTCATGCTTTACGAGATAAGGGGCCCTAGGGTGGCAATCTTTTCTTTTGCCATGTGAATGGTAAAGTTTTATTTCCTCTCCTCTCAGTGACTTCTGAGGAGCAGCAGGGAAACGGTGGGATACTCAGAAAGGTCAATTCTTCAGATTTCTGCATCAGAAATATTCCAAAATATTTTTTTTTTTTGTGAAAATCTGAAACCTGCAACATTTCTGGTCCTGGGCATTTCAGATAAAAGGGTATTCAAGCTTGGTGTGTGACATGCCACCCTTGATGCTTTTAAAAATGTTTTTTTCAGTGTTAACCTTTAGTAGTTTGGTGTGTCTCAAGTGTATCTGTCTTTTGCATTCACTCTCTCTGGAGACTCATCTTCACAAATATTTGTCTTCTGACAAACTTAGACTGTTGAGAATATTTCTTGTGTGTGCATGAAGAGACCAAAAGCTGACATAGTGTGTCTTCCTGAATCACTTTTCCTCCCTATTATTATTTTTTAATATTCTTATTTTTAATATTCTCCCTATTCTTATTTTTTAATATTTATTTCATTTTATGCCCGTGTGTTTTGTTTGCATGTATATACACATACTAATTTGTATCTGCTGCCTGCAGAGGGCAGAGGAAGATTTCAAAGCCCCTAGAACTTGAGTTACAGATGGCTGTGAGCCACCTCCTGGGTGCTGAGAACTAAACTCAGATCCTCAGCAAGAGCATCCAGTTCTGAGCCATCTCTCCAGCCCCTCCAGGCTGGCCTTGAACTCAGAGATCTTCCTACCTCTGTTTCCAAGTGCTGGGATTAAAGGTGAACTGTACTTCCACACCCCCCCCCTTTAAAAACAAAACAAAACAAAACAAAAAAAAACAACAAAGCTTATTTTTTAAATTATAATTACATCATTTCCCCTTTGTCTTTCTTCTCCCCTGAAGCCCTCTCATACATCCCTTCTTGCTCTTTCAAATTCATGGCTGCTATTAGAAGTTGTTATGTACGTTTATGTATCTGTAGACACTGTCCTTATTTTTTAAGCTAGGCTCTCTTACTAAAACCTGAGACTTACCGACGGGTTACACTAGCTGGCCAGCTAGCCCCAGTGATCCTAGCTCTTCTGCTTCCCCCGTGGTGGGACATATAGGCACGTGCCACACACCTGGATTCTTACATGAGAGCTAGGACTAAGCACAGGTCTTATGCGTGCAAGGCAAGTAATTTTATCAATGTAATGCCCTACCCCCACCCTACTGTTACTTCCCCACAGGCCCTGGAGGCAGGCTGCTGTTGGCTCTTTGTTTTGTGCTGGGGACTGAGCCCAGAGCCTTCCACATGCTGGGTAACCACTCTACCATTGAGCTATGTCACTACCTAGCTGTCTACTTTCAACTTACTTTTTCAGTATTTCTAGTTCTATTACTTTGGATTTAAAATTTTTAGCTACTGTAATTTTCTTTTTTTGGGGGGGGGTGTGGGAAAGGGGAAGCTTTTTGAGACAGGATTTCTCTGTATAGCCCTGGCTGTGCTGGAAACACTCTGTAGACCAGGTTGGCCTCGAACTTACAGCGCTCTCCTAGTTCTGCCTCTCAAGTGTGGGAATTAAAGGTTTGCACCACCTGTAATTTTGCCCAGCTGTAATTTTCAATTCTAATATGCCTACTAGGTTCTTTGTTCTATGTGTCTCTTGTTTTAAGAATGCTCATTGCTTTTCAGACCATGATCTTACTAGCTGGTTAAAATGTTTCTGACAATTCCAACAGAACCACTTATGAGATCTTGCTCTATCATGTGGGTCACAGGGTCCCTCAGGTCATTGGGTGGCTCATCCTTTTTACCTGCTAGCTATCAGCTGGCCCCAGGCCAGCATCTGCTCACTGCTTTCTCCATGCAGCCCTTGAGGTTTTCCTGGCTCTTAATACACTGAGTCACTACGGATGGAATCTGGGATATTCTAAACATTGTATTGTGAGACTCTGGGCCTTTTTCAAGATCTATGCAAAGGGTTATTTCTGGTTTTGGCAGGCAACAGAGCAGGTTGGGCTCTGCCTGCTGAGCAGGCAACAAGAGAAAGCAGCAAAAGAAAAGCAATCCATATTCCTTGATGCTGGCGGCCAGACATTGAGGCACCTGTGTTGTATACTGCCATTACTGCTGCCACCTGCCCATATTCTGGGATTAGAGAGAACAGGAAAATAGAGTGACTCAGGGAACCCGCTTCCGTCTGTCTGCTTTAAGTCTTATTTCTTTTCAAATCAGAAAGAGAAGGCTTCTTTGTACCTGCTCTGCAGCTCCAGATCACAGAAGACGTCACCAGTTTGACGGGACTTCAGGTCTTGTTATTCTTAGCTAGGACTTACTTTTCAGAGTAGAGCATTTTGTCCATAGATTTTAGTTCCATTCAGCAGAAGAGACGGGGCAGAGCACGCCTGTGCCGCCTTGCCTCAAAATGGCTCGTAATCCTATCACACAACCAGGGTAGGGCTACTGTATGTGTACAGTAGACACTGCGCGTCAACAGTCGGCAAACCCTGAGCCTATGAGATAGCTCAGCAGTAAAAGCACTTGCTGCCACTTCTGACAACCTACATGTGGTCCCCAGAAACCATGTGGTAGGACAGAAAAACTTCAGCACATTGGCCTGACTTACACACACACACACACACACACACCATAGTATGTGCTCCCCGACAAACATGTTTCTTTAAAGGCATTGGCAATGTCTTACATATAGGGCTGAAGAGACAGTGCTTTAGGCTTTGTGTTCATCTGTTGCAGCCATGTAAGTTACTTAGTTCGCTAGCTTTTTGATAGCTGTCATACACAGAGCATCAGTTGGCATGTGCAATGTTATTTAATAAAACTGGTCACAGGCTGGGGGGCTCAGACCAGTTTACCAACCCCTATTCCAGATCCCAGACAAGGCCACTTAAAGGTGGAGTTCACTCTGACGAACTGTTCTGAGAAAGCTTCTAAAATCCACTGCTTTGGAATATTGTGTGAGATGGACTGTCACGGTCTACTTTCGGTCCCTGTCTTTAAGTTGTGCTGCACTTGAGTAGCCCTCTTTCCTTTATTACTGTGGGATATGTAAGGATCTTAAGACTTATGAGAGGAATAAAGATAAATTTCATTGAATGAATTGAAAATAAAATGAATAAATGGCAAAGCAAGAGGTTCTGCTAGTAACTGAAAGTTCTATCTTTGCTCAGGTCAAGCTGGATACACTGTGAGGCCTGATCTAAAATCCAAACCAAGAAGAAAAATAAAAATTCTGTACTTACGTTATCCTTCCAAATACACATCCTTACTGACAATCTTCCTGAGGATATGTTCAAACAGAGGAAGTCATAAAAATGTTGTCCTGACTTGTTTTTCCAGATTAGAGGTAGCAAGGCTGCCCTCCTCTCACTCACCTGGTTTCCGGCCGCAGAGGTAGAAGGCCAGTCTGTCAGTCAGCTCATACTGTATTTCTACGAGGCGTTCTGCCAGCTCGTGGTGCCCTCCTTGCCTACCAAGAGAACAAAGCACCATTGACACAGCACAGTTCACTGGCTCTGAGTCAGAAAGCACAAAGCTGTCCTCAGACACCTGAGCAGCTTATCAAGCATGGCTGTCTGCAATCCTGTGCACTGCTGACTGCCATGATCACTCTCAATCCCTCCTCCCTAAGCCAATGCTCCCACCCAAAATATCCTCTTTATGAAGGTGTAAAAGATGGCATTTTATGTACTTAAAGACTTATGAGAGGGATAAAGATTTACTTCATTTAACAAGGCGAGAAAATAAAATTAATAAACAGAAAAAGTTCTCAAATGCTAGCTAGAGTGTTCCCAGGAAAACACAGCTTTGGGAATTCTGGATTAGTGAGGACAGTCCAGCCCCAGGCATCAACCTTCCGAAGAAGGCCCTTCTTCCACGTGCTCCTGAGGCATGGAGTCAGCTGGCCTTGGAGAGGAATCTAGAAATGAGGAACTACGTCACACAGGCCTCATCTCTGCAGCTACTTTTGCCTCTTTGTCACCAGGAATCAGTTTGCCTATCTTTATTCATAGAATATTTGAGTTGCTTGGATCCTTTCAGCACATAAGCCAACTGTGACACTGAGAGACTATTATATGCAAGCACACTGAAGATTCCAATGATGATAAAGCGTTCACTGTAGATTCTGGTTATCTTCAAAGATCAAATCTAGCCTTAACCAGTTTTTCTTTCCACACAGTACTTCCTGACCTATTACCCACATTTGAATCTAACAGACTCCCTGTTTTCTTAGGGGTAGCTTCTTTGAGACTTGTGAGCTGCCCTGCAGTTGCTGGCCTATGGCGGTGCATCTGGCAAAGCTTTCTCTCCATGCTGGATGAGATAAAGCAGCATGATCCAACCTCAGAGCTGACCAAATAATGCACTCCCCTCACCTCTCCCCACCCTCGCTGTCTCCAGTCCCATCTCCACGATGATGAGAGCACTCTGCCCATCCCCATCTTCCACCCTGACTCTGCCTTTCCTCTCTGGAGGATACTTTAGTTCCTCCTTCATAGGTCCATATCCAACTCACTTCTCAAAGACCACCTAAGAAAACTATATATATATATATATATATATATATATATATATATATATATATATGTTGATCTAGAGCCACCACGTATTCAGATGTTAATTGCTTGCTGCCCCAACCCAGATTCTGTTTTATGAGCAGACTATCACGTACCCCAAAATGTTGCTGTGTGATCTTGCCTCAAGTAATCCCTATCTGACCAAATGCCTACACCTGGGCAGGGCAGAAGTGAGGTGGGCAGAGCTAAGGTTTTTGGGCTTGAAGGACAGAAAGATCATGGAAAGGGGAGAGATGGGGTAGGGGGAAGGAAAACGAAGAGGGAGAAGAAGGGAAAGAGGGAGGAGAAGAGGAAGAGCAGGAGGAGGAAGTAGAGACCACCAAATGGAAAGCATGTTCAAGTATATGTATTATTTTGGAAAGGAAATAGTCAGGATGGGAATGATTAGAGCAATTAGCATGGGACTGTGAGGTAATGAGGTAGTTTAAGGGGTTAATATCTGCCCAGTGCCAGGTGAAATAAAGCTTATTAAAAATCTATCGGGTGCCTGTGTCATCTATTGCTTATGCTGTGGAATAATAATAACCGCCACAATAATTATATATGGTCCAATAGTATTAATAGACAATTTTCTGCATATGAAACACATTTGCGTGTCTGTAGATGTACATGTCTATGGAGGCTCAAAGCTCATATCAGCATTTTCCTTGAATGCTCTCTACCATGAAGCAGAATCCTACTGAACCATAACTTGATGACTTGATGGTATAGGTAGTCTTGCTAGTCAGCTAGCTACAGGGATCCTCCATGTCTGTCTTCGACGACTAGAATACAGTAGGGTTCCACACATACATAGCATTATGTGGGTTCTGAGCATCTGAACTCTGGTCTTCATGCTTGCACAGCACGTGCATTAATCAGTGGGTGATCTCCCAGCCCCTTATATATGCTTTTTTTTTTTAAGATTTTTTATTTATTTGTTTATGTATCTGAAGGCTCTATCTGCATGTACACCTGCATGGCAGAAGAGGGCATCAGATCCCCATATAGATGGTTGTGAGCCACCATGTGATTGCTGGGAATTGAACTCATGACCTCTAGAAGAGCAGACAGTGCTCTTAACTGCTGAGCCATCTCTCCAGCCCTATATATGCTTTTTAAATGTATTATGTGTGTGAGAGTGAATGAGTGTATATCATGGCATGGGTGTGGCTTAGGGGACAACTTTTGGGAGTTGAGGCAGGGTCTCTGGCTTCTGCAGTGTTGTATACACAGAATAGCTAGCTCTCTGCCTCTCTTCTTGCTGTGGGTGCTGGATTTACAGATGTATGCACACTGTACACTGCACTTGGCTTTTCATGTGGGTTCTAGGGAGCACACTCAGGTCGTCCAGGCTATGCAGGAGGGCTTTTACCAACTGAACCACATGTGTCAGTGGTGTGTGGTAGTTCACAGTTGAAATCAGCATGGAAGAGGGAGGGCAGCAAAGGCAGAAAGACTGTCTGGATTATAGAGTCAGACCTTGTCTAAAAAAGGAAACAAAATAAAACAAAACAGAACAAGGCTGTCCATTTTGTCAACAATTCACACATAATCTTGCCTCAATTCTTTCAAGCATTTATTAATCATTCGAGAATAGTCTTTTGTCATTTCCCGGTTCACTCTTTGTGAAGCAGAACATGTTGCTTCGTAGTTACTAAAATAACAAGAAAAAGGAAAGCTATCCATCTTCCGTCACTTAGACCTGCAGGCTTTAATGGAGTTATTTAAGCCTGTGAAGTTCCTTCATGCTCCAGCATTTCAGATGGAGAAAGGCATGGCGGTGTGCCTGCAGCCCCAGTTATTCAGGCACACACAGTAAGAAGTTTGTCTAAATTCAGAAGTCTAAGATCTACCTGTCTTAAAACAAAACAAAACTACAGCAGGAAAAATTTAAAGACCCATTAAAACCTTGAAGAATGGGTTTTGTATTTCCTCCTCATGCCAGGAACAGAACTTGTGTGTGTGCCTGTGTCCCTTAGAGGCCAGAAGAGGGCGTTGGATCCCCGGAACTGGAGTTACAGATGAGGCACCCTGTGGTGCTGGAAACTGAGCCCCAGTTCTCTGCAAGAGCAGCCAGTTATCTTAATTAAGGAGCCATCTCTCCAGCCCTGCCCTCTCCCCCCCCCCCCCCCCCCCCCCCCCCCCCCCCCCCCCCCCCCCCCCCCCCCCTCCCCCACCGCCCCCCCGGTTCTTGATACCTGATTTGCACACTACAGCTTGTTAAAAAGCTGGATGTTAAGCACACCAGTTTATTACTGGTATTGCTTGTCTCAGTGGATATACATCTGAAACACCTTTATCTACAAAATAGTAGATTATAAATCTTTAAAGGGGCTAGAGAGAAGTTATACACAATTTAGTGGCTTAGCAAGGGCTCCTAGTGAGTACACAGGTGCAGTAAGAACCTCAGCAGCTCACCTTGCATAATCAACAGGAGTCTTCCCACTAGAATCTTGTGTGCCTGGGTCAGCTCCGTATACTGCCAACAATTCAGCCTGTAAAATCTGTCCCGCTTTGGAGGCAACATGGAGTGGAGTGCTTCCTTTTTCCTACGAATTATTAATTAAAAGTAGATTAAAAAAAAAAGTAAGCTAAGTAAATTCAGCCTACTCTAGTAGGACTCAGTTTCAATCTACTGTCTGAAGCAATTGACAGTTGCATACGGGATGGAAGAAGTTGGCTTGGGCTCCTAGAGACAGCAATCTCAGACAGGTCTCAAGGTTCCCTGTTCTCACACTTGAATGGAGTTGCTGAAAAACAAACAAAAAAAGAGTAATTGTAAAAAGCATTAGGAGTGACATGCTCGAGCAGCTGGCAACCTATTTGCTGCACTCTACAATAGTAACAGATATTTAACTGGCTCACAAGGAGCTAGAACTGTGAAGTCTGCCCAAAGGCAGGGCTTTCGAGTAAGAGGTTCAACCATAACCTGAATGAGAAGCAGCTGAAAAGGAGGCTCTGCTGTTTGGGGGAATGGATGTCAAGGCCTATGGCTTTCCAGCTGTATGATCAGAGAACTCTGAGCAGTGGAACCTGGGCGCCATGGTGCCACTTGCCAATAGGGTTGCTGTGTGGTTTCAATGACACAGGAAATGACTCAAAACTCAGATGCCGTACACTAGTAATCTTTGGCTGCTGCTGCAGTGCTGATCCCAAGGGTTCAAGCTGCCCACTGCACATGCTGCACACCTGCTTACCTCATCCTCTATCAATCTGCACTGTTCACACAATACTTTTCCCAGGCTGCTCTTGGTGGGAAAGGTGCCTGTGCCACAAATTCCACACTATCTCAGAAAAGCTTCTAAACACTCAAAGCAAGCTGCTCTCTTTCACAGTTAATCTGGTGTGGTCCTAATGAGACCCACTGTGAGCAGGCTTCTCTACTCCCCCTGCCCCCGAGACAGGGTTTCTCTGTGTACCCTTGACTATTCTGGACTCACTTTGTAGACAAGGTTGGCCTTAAACTCACAGCGATCCGCCTGCCTCTGCTTCCTGGAGTGCTGGGATTACAGGTGTATGCCACCATGCCCACCAGCTTTTGTGACCAGTCTCTTTAATTACATGTGTGTGTATACATCTGCGCACGCTGCATGCAGGTGCCCACAGAGGCCAGAGAGGGTGTCAGATCCCCTGGAGCTGGAGTTACAGGTAGTGTGAGTCATGGGATGTGGGTCATCTGCAGGAGCAGTCTGTGTTCTTTATTACTGAAACTCTCTCCAGCCCCAAATCACTGTTGTCTTTTTCTTCTTCTTAACACACACACTTTTACACAAGGACTCACTGTGTATTCCTGGGGCTTGGAACTCACTATATAGAACAGGCTGGCCTTGAATTCATAGCTGTCTGCCTGTCTCTGGCCTTCTGAATGCCAGGGACTAAAAGTATATGCAACCACACCTGGCTATATTTTTTATTTGGTAAAAAGGAGAAAAGCTATTTACCTAGTCGAAAAATTACATACATACATACATATATTATACATACATATGTATACACACACGTCGAAACATTATGTGTGTGTGTGTGTGTACATGTCTATGCACAATTAGTACTCTGAATGGTGCACATGGTCTACTGAGTGAGCATCTTGTTCAGAACACTGCTCCAAAAACCAAGCTGTACGTTTCTGCAGCATCTCTTAACACACCAAGGCCCACAAAGGAAAGCACCACTCACAGCACAACGGTGTGCTGCAGCTCTAGTCCCACTCTGGAGATCCTTCTCGCCTGCACCTGGGCACTGAAGCACTCTGCTTTGCCTTCTCATGGTCTAGTCTCTTTTAGAAGTAAGCATCCTGAAAACTTCTAGGTCCCTCTAGAAACACTCTTCTGAAATTGTTATTTGCAAGTAGAGAACTTACCAAAATATGTATGTGAGAACTATACTAAGCAAGTACTAAGTAATCAAATGAAAAAAAAAAAAAAAGAGGAAAAAAAATAGTTTCTTTAACACAGATTTTTGTCTACTATGTTTAAGACGAGTGAATGCCACTGAAAAGAGAAAACTAATAAAAAGCTGTCAGTTATTTACAGGCACGAAAAAGATGTGTTTCTTCTTCCTGGTACTATTTTTAGGTGAAGCAACCCACTGTCTTGGCAGGCTCCCCAAGGGACTGTAAGCATGTACCCACCTTGCTGAGGTCTTTGGCAGTCACACTGTCGTCATCACGGCAGGGCAATCGGTGCACAAATGCTAGCATCTGATACTTGGCTCTGATGAATTCTGCTTTATTGGGGCTGGTTTGAAAACAAAGAAGACAGCTCACTTGAAGTTCTGACACATTTCTCATTCTCTGTACTGTAAGAAGAGGAAGTGACCCACACCCACTTGAGAGGAAGATGAACAAAGCTGAGTTCGTTTCGGCAGCACTGAAGGCCAGGTCTGAAAGCACACTATCAAGCACCTACATTTCCGCTCCTTTCCTCCCTTTCACTTTCTTGCTGGGCACCTTGGGAGTTTACAGCATTCCCTCCCGTGTTCTAGGTAAGGCTGCCGGGATGCTGCCGAAGCCAGACTTCTGGTCTGACTGCCACTACTTTAGAGTATCTTGGCTTCCATCTGATCACACCTAGTCACCATGCCCTGATCTCCAGCTGGAGAAATCATTAACTTCAGTTGAGTAACCAACAAAAGTGCTGGCCCACCTGCCTCACTCTCCTTTCTAACAGCAGATGCCCCAGGCACAAAGCACAGCCCCCTTGGCAGCCGATCAAAATAGACACATTTCTTTCAGCAGGGCCATTTGTTGCAAAGAAGAGAAGCAATTACAAACATTCCACTCACTGTACTTTATCCTGTGGATTAGCTTTCCGTCTGCCACTCATAATAGATGCAGGGTCCAGCAAAGAATGCTCCCATATAGAATTAGCACCATTGTTGTACAAGGTCTCAACCATCTGAAACCAAGCAGTGTGAGACGATATTTTATTTCCACATATATTCAAAAAGCATCAGTGACAAAAATGGAAAAATAATGCTTTGTTAAAAACACTACCATGTCTGGGTACCACTCCATCATTGCTTCTGACTGTACAGGGAGGCCGAGGAGCTCCATACAGCTTTGCCTGCAGGATGGCCAGAGCTGGCTTGATTGCACAATACTTACAAACTGAAGGTAAAGTAACTGATGCTTTAGGGTGGCCTTTCATTAAATTCAGTCATTTAAACTACCTCCTCATTCATTACTTTATTGAATGCAATACTTTTATTGCATTCAATAAAGTAATGCAATAAACAGATATTTTAGTGCCAGCTCTCACACATCTCCCACTGTGGCTCATGTCCCACACTTCAGAGTCTGATGTCTTAATGTCAACGCTGGCATTTTCCAGAACTCATCTCTGGACCTCCTGTAAATTCTAAAACTGTAAACAAAGACAGACCTGGGTGTAGCACTCACCCTTTCCCGTCAGAATGGGCTTTTGGAAACATCTAAGTAGAACTCTTAACAAACCTGCCAGCTTCATCTCTCCACAGGGCTCCCAGAAATGCCCATCTGTGCGTGCAGCTCACGGGGCATCTCTTATCAGAACCCAAACCACTTGCTTGGGTACCTTGGTTCATGTGAGTTTAAGGAGCATGGTGTGCAGCTGTTGCAGATTTACTGAGATGTATGTTAAGACAAATATCCCAAAACATACGAGAACTAAAGAATGTGCACCCCAAATAGAAGTACCAAGGACATGACATCGGATCCCAGATAAGACAAAGACCCCCTGACAAATGTTAGGCGTGCAAGCCACACATGCTCACTTAGTCTTGGCCTAACAGTGACAACTTTTTAGAAAAAAAACTTCAGATGTTAAAGCAATTTCTGAGGAATCCCAGTCTATGCTTCTATTAAAACAGGAAAAATGTTCTAAAGATATAAGCAGGTACTCAGGAATAGCATGTTAATGAAACGCCTCTCAGCAGTGGCTTTCGGGGTCATTTATCACAGCTTATCTGAAAGACAGAGCTTTTAAAAATAAATTCTGGGGGCTACAAAGATGGCTTAGTGTTCCACACCAAGCACTTGTTCTTGCAGGGGACCCAGATTTGAGTCCCAGCACCCACATAGTGGTTCACAACCATCTGTAACTCCAGTTTCAGGAGATCTAACGCTCTCTTCTGATCTCTGTGGGCACATACAAAAATAGAAGAAATAAATGTAAAAGATAAAAATAATTTCTAGCTGGGTGGTCATGGTGCATGCCTCTAATCCCAGCACTTGGGAGACAGAGGCAGGTGGATCTCTGGGCTTGAGGCCAGCCTGGTCTAGATAGTGAGTTCCATGTCAACCAGGGCTACACAGAGTAACTCTGTCTCAAAAACCAAAACAACAACAAAAATTTCGGAAGTTGGGCATGATGGCATACACCTTTTAATTCTAGTACTTAAAAGGCAAGTGAATGTCTGTGAGTTCAAGGCCAGCTAGGGCTACATAGTGAGACTCAAACAAAACAAAACACAACAATTTTTGGAGATTACCTAGAAAGCCAACAGTGAAAACTAAGAAATTTAAACTTTTATTGACACATTCTATCGATATATCTGTCTATACATAACTAAGTTCGAGGGAACAAGATTATGTTAGGTGAGCAAAGAAGGAAAATGATTTCAACAGACAATACTCTATACTATACATAGAAATGAGGCACAGCACTTTATTCAATTATGATTCAAAGGTATACTTTGATAAGATTTAAAATGCATATTAGGAGATATTTTAGTTGCTAAAACGACAATCCTAAAACACAAATGCCCAATTATGAAAATTCTTCCTACCTGAAGCAGTGTTGGAGGCCATGGTGTATGTTTAAGATGCCTTACTTGGGAGATATGGCGCCCTAGACTCCGATGAACACTGCAACACTCGTCACATATAAAAGTTCCCCTGTTTACTGATGCCCATGAAGGATCTGGAAAAAGAATGACACCTCAGTGGCAAGGATATTAATTGGTTGCTATATATAGGATAGCAAAAGATGACTGATGTTTGGTTTTAGAATACAACAGAATATTTTTTGTTCTTTCATATGCTGCTTGATACATGAGGCTGATGAACAGCCTGATGATCCTACCCAGTGTGGCTGACTGGGTTCCCTATTGAGCCTGGCAGCCTTTCTCGAGCAACCTTCCAGTTGGGCCACAGTCTCCCACGTCACCAAATGCTAAAGAAGCAGTTGAGGGAGCCAACGGTGGATCACTCCACTTGGTCTTCTTGCAGTACTGGGGATCAGAACTGGGGCCTTGTCCATGCTAGTCAAGTGCTCTACCACTGACCTCCACCTCCGGGTTGGTGATCATTTGAGTCCATTTTTGTAAATCACAAGATTATATAAATTTGACAGTGAGTTATCTGCCTAATAGTGTCTAAGGTAAATGGTGAAGTGATTGCTGCCCAGTGCAGGAAGTTGAGGTCCATTTGCTAACAGAAAGCCAGAGAAGAACTGAGACGCTCTGCTCCAGTGTCTGCTCAGGTGATGCTCTCCACAGCACCAGTGGTTTAGATAACCTGCCAGACCCAGGCATGCAGCTGATCTGAAGGAAGCAGTCTCACGGGAACAAAGATGTGAAACAAAAATGGTATTTTTGGTTGAGTCCAATACTTTTTCCTTTGAAATTGCACAAAATTACCAGACAACCTTTCATACAAGGAATAATTCACACTAGGTGGAGAGGATGGATCTGGGTGAATGAACTGAGCCTTAGAAACACCAAATAAAGGCATTTCCTCAGACACACAGTGGGGTAACATAGGTGCTACTCTGGCTGCCTGGCCTATGTGTTGTAGTTTAAAATTCTTCAAGGTCCACAAAAATCTCTAAAATGCATGTATATCATCTTGCCATTTTTAAGTTTATTCTAACCCCTTCAAACCATATAATGAAAAGTTATGGGATTTCAATCAAAGACAAATCCTGGGAGCCAGAGAGCACAGTGGTTTCGAGGGTTGGCTATGGAGACAAACAGTCCAGAGTCAGAACCTCATTTCTTGTGCAATAATCTGAGGCCTGTTACTTTGAGTGTCCTCACAGTGGACCCAACTGGAGTAGTAACATATCTCAAAGGAGGGAGAATGTAGATAAAGTGTCTGTCTTGGGGGCACAGGAATGATGCATTTTAAATGAACTAGATTCATTAAAAACAAACAAGAAATCAGGGCTGGAGGTGTGGCTCTCCCAGCAACTGTGAGGACCTGGCTTTGATCCCCAGCATCACTAAGGTAAACAAGACATATTCAAAGTGAAGTGTCCGATATGAAACAGAAGAGTCCAACAACCACAGGTGCTACAATACCATTGTAAGGAGCAAGGACAAAACATGAGGTTCTGTACACAGGCACATGACAACACTGCTTTCTGCAGGAAGATATTAGTATTAAGACTGCAAGTGTGGCTTTGGCAAATCAGCCAAAAAAAAAGGATAGCAATTTTTTAACACACATTAAACAATCGTCTCCTTTAATCACTTACCCAGCATGGATCAGAATCCCACAGAAAGAATGTTTGACGACACAGAAAATGAGACTTAAGCTTTTATAAACGAGGCTGGGTGAAGCCCTTCCAGGTTATCTGGAAGGCAGGACTTTTTAATCAGGCTCCATGAACAGCAAAAACAGACTTCAAAAATATCTGTGCCCCAACCATCTGATCAAATTTTGTCTGGGAGCATCTTCTGAAAAGGCCTTAACATTAGGATTTCAGAGGAGCCCTGATCCTACAGGTTAGCCTTTGCCTAAGCTGTGCACAAATTCTTAGTTGCTTGTCCATCCTTCAAGGTAGCTTCGTTATACTCAAAACAGGAAGGAAGTGACTCAAGTCTCTCTAGATTCTGGCATTCAAGACAACTAATGTGAAACACAAAAGGTCCAGAAATGACACAAATGGAAGACCATATTCAGGTGGTGAGGAGAGGGAATCTGTGTTTGCCATGTACCATCCACTGGGTAAGGAGCACACTTCTCAAGAGGAAGTTTTAAGTCAGACAAACATGAATCAACCGAAAACAGGCAAGGAAAGAAGGAAGCGGAACAAACAACATTTTTAGAGATAGTTTGTATATACCTGACTTGCAGACAACAGTCCCTGCCTCTCCTTACCTTCCATCTAACTGTTAACCTGAAATGCTCAGGGCCAAGAAAAACAAAACAAAACAAAAAACCAGTAAGGTTTACCACAGAATCACTTAAAATCAGTCCCTGCTTCCAAACGACAAGACGAAGAGAAGAACAGTTGCAAGCTGCCGGCGTTCAATGACTCGATTAAGACTGTTTATTGAACGCTGCTGTACCAGTTAAGTCATCTGCTATTTAACCAAAAGTCCAAGGACCAAAACAAGCAGAAAAAAATCTGAATCGAGACGTGTCAGTTGGTTTCCAATTACTAAACCAGATCCAGTCTCCAAATCCAAATACTATCTGCAGCAAGAACACTTCTGGTCGTTCGAAGTCCTTGAGTTTACAATGCCAGCGACTCTGAAGCCAAAGTGTAGCTGAAGGAACTACAAGGATTTTGGACTGAGAGGCAGCATACAAAAGAGACGAACCCTGGGGAATGTCCACTGACCATCGCGCACGGTACTGGCGATAGTCTCCATCGGAAAAAAAAAAAAAAAAAAAAAAAAAACAACGAGGAAATCAAGGTCTGGGCAAGTGGAGTCATCAGTCCAAGGTCACACAGAGGCAAAAATCTGGTGGGAACTTGGAATCTCAAACTCGAGACCCGACCTGGGGCTGTCTGTCCCCCGGGAGCGGCCGCCTGTAGCAGGGCAGCCCAGCCGGGCGACGGTCGCGCACCCGCGCGGGGCGGGAGGCCGGGAAGGGGAAACACCTGCAGCCTCGGGCCGCCTGTCGGACTCCTGTCACCGGCCTTCCGGGGCTGTCTAACCCTTCCCGTCCCGGCCGGTGCCGGCCCCCGCCGCCTCTGCGCTCGGCCGGGCCAGGGGATGGAGGGTCCCTCCCGGCCGCGCGGCTGACAGGCCCCGGGACGCTCTCGCGACCGTGCGGCCCGGGGGTCGGCGTAGCCCGGCTCCCGCCCGCGGGGACCGCCCCGTCAGGGGTCCCGGCCCCGAAAGCGCGCCGAGCGGGGCCCCGCCGGCGGCACTCACCCGGCCCGCTGCAGTCGGCGCACACGTCGCTGCTCCGGAGCCGCTTCGACATGGCTCCCGCTTCACCTGCCGGGAACCCCGCGACGGCAGAGGCGTCGGCTGCGCTTCCGCTCTAACGGGTCCCCCGGGCAGCGCTGGCGGCGCCTCTCCCCTCAGCGCCTCGCAGCCCCGGCGCACTACGCACGCGCGGGGAGGAGTCCTGCTGCGCCCCGGCGGTCATGTGACCGGAAAGGGCACGCTTCCTTATGGCCATCTTGAATGAGGGCAGAGGTCTGCCCAAGAAATCCTTTGCCTGCCTCTAAACGCCTTAGCAATTTGGGGTCTCCCTTCTGGGAAGTGATTCTTTGTTTAGTACCAGAGACAGAAGCAAAATCTTGTGTCAAATATTTTGAAATCAATCGGAGACAACAACTGAGTTCATTTAGTCATTTCCAGAAGAGACCTCAGGAGCGCGCGTCATGTTTCTCTAATGTGAGTGACAGTTCCCACGCATTCCTCCATTAAAGCTTTTAGGTACCATCTTTATGTGATTGCCTCCTGTATTGGCTTCATTCAGTCTTTGAGGACTCCACCCCCGTGGAGAATGGACTAGGTCCGTCAGGATTCTTGGCCAGCCCTTGCACTTATCTGAAAAGCTGGGTCTGTTTAAAGCCAGGAAGGAAGACGGAATGCTTGCCGGTGGCTTTGGACGACTTTTGTTGTAAGACATCTGGGCAGACACAGCACTTGGTTCTTCATTGTGTCAAGATACAATGCCTGAAGTCGCAACCTAAAGGATGAATTTCACTTGCGCATATTGTGGGCCAATCTCGATACGCCATTAGTCCTTTGGGTCACAATCCTAATCAGGTTAATGAGACTGAGGCGGGATAAACCTTCAGCTATAGCCTTTACATTATAGCCGAGTTGGGGGTTCAGAAAAAAATAGTGGTTTTTCAACTGGGCGATTTTTCTCCTCCAGGGGACAACTGCCCATGTCTGGAGACAGTTTTGGTAAGAGTAACGACGGCATTGAATAGGCGTCTGCTCACCCCCTGGAAAGCGTCGGATAACGTCTACACACAGAACCATCCAGTTCAAACATTCCAGAGTTTAAAAGCCCGTAGACACAACTACCCCGTTATCATGAGGGTATCTGGTGCTACCTCTCCCGGGTCCAGGTCATCCATGAAAACGATTTCGTGATGCCCACTTCCAAAATGGTTTCTGACCAATCGTGGAAGGCAGCTGAGGACGGCACCAGTCAAATGGTTTGATCCAGGCTCTCACCCCCGCGGTTGCAGAGCCAATGCAAGAGGCCCGGTTGTGGAGCAAACCACTGCAGGAGGCTAGGGCAGGGGGAGAGAGTCGGGGGGCGCGCACCATTGCCTTTGCGCGTGGGGCTCTTGGGCTTCCCGAGGGCCCCGAGGTGCTACAGAACGTTGTTAGTCGTGTGTTCCGGCGCGGAGGTGCGGCGGGGAGCGATGGAGCTGGGCTCGGGCGTGTCGCGGGGCCGCGTTCCCCGCCGCCGCGCTCAGTGGAACGGGCCGCGCACTTCCCTGTTCGGGGCGGTTCGGCCGGCAGCAGTCGTTTCGCGAGCTGTCAGCGCGGGCGCGAGCGCGCGGGGCGCGGGGTGGGCGCGGCCGAGCGGGTCCCCGAGCCGGTCCCCAGCCCGGCCCGAGACCCCGGGCCTCCCGCGCCACCCGCTCCGGTCTCGGAGGCCCGCGCCGCCCGCCTCGCCCCGCACTCGCCGCCTCGCCGCCCTCCTCTCCTCGCTCTCCGGCCAGTCGGGCGGGCCCCCGAGACCCCGTCGGGTCGAGGCTAGTGGCAGGCGGGCGGTCAGGCCCGGGTCCCGGCCTCCTCGCCATGTCCTCGGCCCGCGACGTCGGCAGCCGCTTCCCGCTGCACCTCCTGGTCTGGAACAACGACTACCGGCAGCTGGAGAAGGAGCTGCGGGGCCAGGTGAGGTGCGCAGCGCCGCGTCGGGGCTCCTTTGCCTCCTGAGCCCCGCTCAGCCCTTCAGCTCTGCGGTTCCCGCTAGGATCCATCGAGCTCTTACTGTAGACCGATGCCGGGGCCTTTTGGTGCATCATCCCCTTTCCACTATCGCGAAGAATGAGTGCTTGTTATTCCACTTGACAGGGAAGGAAACTGAGACCTCAGAGCTTACTTGCCTTGCGCAAGGCCACTGGGCCAATGAGTACCATTGTCGGGATCTTTTATCTTAGGCCGGCTGGCTCCAGAATTCACCTTTAACTTTATGGTCTCGAAGACGGAAGAGCAACACACACACACACACCCCTTACTCCACCCGCCCTGGCGCTGGGGAAGAGCTTGGTTGGCTTAGGTGGCCAGGCTCTACCTTATCTCCCTTGTGACCTTGGGCAAAGCAGTTATGTTCTGGGGCCCACTTTTCTTTACCCATAGGATGAGGATGTAGGCAGTGACGAGGGAAAAACCCCAGTCCTTGTTTAAATTAAAGGTTCTGGGGCTGGGCCTAGGAATCAGTATTTAACAAACTTCCCAGGGCAGCTGATGTAAAATTTGAGATTCTGCTGCTCAGACTCTTTAGGATCTCCCTGTTAGGAAGTTTTTTATGTTGTCATCTCTCTAAATCAGTGGTTCTCAACTGGAGGTGATAGTAAACATTTGGAAGTGCAAGGAGACATTCTGGGTTGCCATGACTTGGGAGGTGGGTGCTGCTGGCACCTAGTTGGGTGGAAGTGGGGGATCCCGCTGTCTCCTATAGTATACCAGGCAGCCACCCACCCACAACAATGTTATCTGACTACAAATGGTCAGTAGTACCTTGGTTGAGAATCTTTCTCATTTTGTTTTTTTCAGTTTCTTGGCTTTTTTTTTTTTTTTTTTCCTTTTTTGTTTTTGTTTGAGACAGGGTCTCACTGTGTAGCCCTGCTTAGCCTGGAATTCACTATGTAGCCCAGGCTGGCCTCTAACTTGGGGGATAGCCTCCTGTATACTGAGCTACCACCTGGGCCAAGATGCCTGGCATTAATGGCACTGCAACAATTTTGGCAGGTATTGGCGCCCTGAGTTACATACTAACTTGTAGCAAATAGAGATAAGGACTTGTAATTACTTCTGAAATCTGGCATAATTGTTACTGTTGGTTTCATTTATCTTACCCAGTGTGTCAGACACCTGGTTTTGAATGACCTAACACTGACTCTGTAATCATCGAGAACCCTTGGTTCTTTTGGTTGGTAAATACTGAACAAGCTCCCCATCAGGCTGTTTGAACAGTCGTACTAAGTGTTGGTTTGAAGCTTGCCATACGTATTTTAGGTTGTATGGGCACTCATGGGAACTCAGAAGTCACTCTTTTCATTTAAGAAAAGGATTCATTCCATGGCAGGCAGGAGTGGTGGTGCGCACCAGTAACCCAGGGCACCCAGGGAGTTGGAGCAGGAAGATTGGAGTTGGAGGCTAGCCTAGGCAACTTGGTTGAGAGTTGGTCTGAAAAATAAAGAAGAAAGGGTGAGAGTATATTCAGCTCCATGGCCCAACATTGTCTATTGTGTGAGAGGCGCTAGCGTGTGTGTGTGTGTGTGTGGGGGGGTGTTATCCAGACAGAACAAGGTTTTGTAAGAGTCATTGTTCTTAATTAGATGACACAGTAACTATTTAAGAGTTAAAGAGATATGACACATGCCCCCAGAGAGAATGATTCACTGCCAGCCGTCCCAGCATACCTGCTGACAGAATTCTCTTTCTATTAGACACGGCTCAGAGGCCTTCTCTGGAATCTTACCCTTAGGCCTGTCCTCAAGCCCCATCCCTGACACTTCCGAAAGTAACCAGTTTTGACTGGACATGGTGGCCCACACCTGTCATCAAGGCTGAGGCCTTGACGAATTACATGTTCAAGGCCACTGTGGGCAAGTTCAACTCTGTCCCAAAGTCAAAGTCAAAAAGAATGCAGAAAAGGAATTGAGGCGTGTAGCTGAGGCGTGAGCTGTCTGTGCTCAGTCCTCAGCACTGGTTTTGCTGTAGACAGTGGTTCTCAGCTCATGCAGAAAGTACAAAAAAAGTCACGGGGTTAAATCCCATTTGATAGAAAGGCTCGTTGTCATCAGACCATGGGCTTCAGGCCTGAGTTCTCAAGACAGCTTTCTCCTCATTGAAGAGGAAGAGTGGTCTGCAAAGGTAAGAGCCACGTCTTGCTTCAGGATCTCAGCTGTGGCCAACTTGCCATTTCCTGCAAACCATGGATAGTCACAGAATGTCTGTCTTTAACCTGTGTAGCCCTCTCAGTGACTGTCCTCCTCAGCCCCTCTAGTGCTCCCCCTCCCCAGGGGGGGCAGGTCACAGGCATGGCAGTGCTGGGGAATTCAAATCTTGTAGGAGATTTTGTGGAAGAAAACTTGAGGTCTTTACTGCCCTTGACTTCAAGGCTGAGAAAGAATGCTCATGCATGCCGACTCTCCGGTTTTGACATTGCCCTAATTTAATACAATGGGTCATTTCACAGTGTAGCACTGTGTCTAGGGAGGAGACCTTGACCCAGGCATCCTGACTGTCATAACTATGCAGTCTAACTTCAGCCGTGAAATTTGGCTGTTGAAGTGGCGGGGACAGAGCAATTGTGTGGGGCCCATTCCCTGCCATCACCATTTTTGAAATGCTTCACTGTTCTGAATCAGAGGCATCTATCCCTTTCATTTTGTATGAGTCCCTACAAGTGATATACTTGGTTTGGGGACAGGATAATATCGCTAGAAGACCCCCAAATGGCAGAGCAGGAAGTATGTGTTCATGCAGATTCTCTGTCAGTGTTGAAGTAGCCACCTTCCTTTTGTGACCAGGAGGCAGTTGGGTTTAATGGCTAGCACCAATGCTGACTAAGCTGTGTGTTTGGGCACGTGGCTTGCCCTTGCTGAATTGGCATCTGTGAAGGTGGATGGCCTACAACTCGACTCTGTAGTCTAGGCTGGCCTTGAACTCAAGGCAAGTCCATACCTCACTCAGTCTTCTGCGTGTTGGACTTAAAGACATGAGCCATTGTGCCCAGCTTCTGCTAAATTATTTTCTTTAATGAAATCTTCATTTTGTCTTATATTTAGTGTGTGTGTGTGCCACCTAATGGATCCCTGGAATCTTTGATTTCCTTCTTCCCCCAGCTCTCTGATGTAGGTGTCACTGTGCTTCCTTCCCATCCTGGAAGAGCAACTCACTTCCATGCTTAGCTTGTGCTTGGGTCATAATTTGAAACCGGAGACCCGGTTTGAATCCTGTTTCTTTTCTTCTCTCACTCTTTCCCTCTATCCTCATCTTTCCTTCCCTCTCTGGATAGAAAGACAAACACAGAAGAGGAATAAAAAGCAACATTTTGTATTTTTGCTTTTTTTTTTTCTTGGTATATGTGTTTATGTGGGGTGTGTGTGTGTGTGTGTGTGTGTGTGTGTGTGTGTGTGTCCTGGTTGGGCTTGCCTGTGAGGGTGCAGGGGAGGTCAGAGGTCGATGTTGGGGTATCTTCCTCGATCATTTCTCTACCTTATTTTTTGAGACAAGGTTTATCACTGAGCCTGGAACTCACGTTTTTATTAGACTAGCTGGCCATTGAACTCCCAGGATGCTCCTGTCTCTGTGTGTGACAGCTGTGTGCCATGGGCACTGGGGATCTGACTTCAGGTCCCGATGCCCACATGGCAGGCACTTTTCACCGTAAGCCACCTTCCCAGGCCCTGCTTTCGGTGGTTCTTTTGAGACCAGGTTTTGCCGTGAGGTTTCTGCTGCCCTCGGCCTCCCAAACACTGGGGACGTAGGGGTGTACCACTGCCCCTGGCTAGAAATTAAGATCTTAAAACCAACTGGCCCAGGCTGGCTCAGACCTGTCTTCTTAACCCCTGCTCATCACTCAGGGAGCTTGCCTGTCCTCCAGGGGAACTAAGGAAAGCAGTAGATGGAGTGTCTGACCTGTGGTAAATGGTGCAGTGCCCTGCCCTGCGGGAGCAGGAGCCACCATGTTCTGAGCCTGAGGGGTTAGCTGTTCTATTCACCTTCCAGTTTTTCTACAGGAGCTGGGAGTTGGCTGCAAAATTAAGAATAAAGAATCCCCATCATCTCAGCAAAGTGCTGTTGGCCTTGCTGTGATGTCTCTCCGTGGAGGTCCTGCTGTCTGCCCCTTCAGTCTTCCCATCACACCGAGAGTGGGGCTTGAAGCTGTCACACTAGGATTTTATTTTGTCCCAGCACCTACTGCAACACAAAAAGTATTGAATTTATCCAGACCAAGACACTAACTTTTTGTCAGCTTCGAGTGTCGCTGGTAGCCAACTGTGAGAGTATTTCAGGCCTCAGAAGAGTGCTCAGTAGAGTGCTTCTTAGCCCATGGCTCTCTCGCGTTCAAGTAGGGCTTTGAAGTTGGCGCCTGCAGTTGGAAGTATTTGTGTCCCAGTTGTCATTTGGCCAGGCCTTTGGAAATCCACTGGCCTCACACTGATGCAGAGGAGTGAATGAGCACTTACAGGGATGAAGGCAAAGGCTTGTCCATGCATCTGAGCTTAGGGGACGCAGGGATTGGAGGTGGCAGACAGTACACTCCTTCCTGAAGCCAGCAGAGCGGAAGCACAGCAGCCAGGAAAGAGAGAGAATGTTCCAGACAGCAGCAGCCCTGGAGCCTGATGGAAGCCTGTGGCAGGCAGGTGAGGTCACTGGGCACACATTCTAGTCAGGGCCCTTGGCCTGGAGGCCACGTTTGAGCCATCCAAGATGAAGCTCCTGGGGCTCTCTGGTGCTTCTCCTCCATCATCAGGAACTCAAGCTCACAAAACCACCTACTGATAACCTTTCCTGTCTAACTTGAGGTAGAAGCCAGAGGCCCAGAGGCCCAGAGCAGTCAGAGTGGAGACACCCTTTCCTGAGGTCCCAGAAGTAGTGATTGCCACGTGCTAGGTAGCACAGGTCACTGAGTATTCATGGAAGCTAGAATTGGGGCCCAG